CGAGAGTCCCATCTACAAGTCGTCCACGGTCTCCGCCGGAAGAAAAAAAAAAAAAAAGGTGATGCAACAGCAAGGATATTCCGGGTGCTGCCTATAATTATGACAACATCGGAGATATTCCAGGGAGGGAAACTTGACACAATCTATCACCACTCGATTGATAGATCCTGAGGTTTCTTTGTGCGCTTTAGCTCAAATCCAAAGATTCACAATTTCGGCCAGAACACACTCGAATTAAGGCTTTCATCGGATCTTTCTAAAAGCTCATCACCACTTCACAAAATTACAATATAAATAGTTCTTCCAAACAACCAAAAAACTGAAAAGGGACAAATCAAATATCTGTTTATATACTCATTTATAAGTCCGAAAACAAACGAAAAGACATTCGTTACCGTAACTAGACCTCAACTCTCCTCATATCGCTTCTCAAATTGCTCGCACGGGAACCTCTTCCTATATGAGCCAAGACATTGGGGCCATTGTATCTGAAAGGGCCGGGGCGAGATTGAGAAACAAAGTAGTATGTAGAGGAAACATCACCATTAAACGTAATATTCTTCCTCCTCCCTCCCACCTTCCCTACCGCGACCTGGCTACTGCATTCAACACAACATTATCTTTGCAACCCTTCGTTCGCTCAAATTCGGCTTTGACGCACGAGAGTATAATAAGAAAGAAAGAGAAGAATGAGAGAAGAAAAGAGAAAAACAAGAGAACCAAATTTCGACCGAGAGAGAAAGGAAGCTATTGATACCACATAAGAAAAGACACAAACAGATACGGGCTCGACCTCGCACACAAAGAGAATATCCTGATCACCACCACATCCATTCTGAATTGCCCATTTACACATCGAATGTCCCACTTGACCTCATAACGAACATCGGCAGATTTAACAATTACATCCTTGCTGCTGCGCCGCTGATCCGCCCTTCAGATCAACTCCTCGCCCGCCCGCACCACCTGCCCGACCGCCTCTAGGGCCTTGCTGGTCGAGAGGCAGCTTCTTTGCGATGGCCGTGAAGAGTTCCTTCACGTTCTCTGCAGTCTTTGCCGAGGTCTCGAAAAACAGGAGACCTGCTTCCCGTGCGTAGGCCTCGGCTTCCGCGGTTTCAACAGCTCGTTTTGAGGGGTCGGATGCAAGATCGAGCTTGTTACCGGCAAGGGCGATCACGATGTTTTCGTTTGCTTGTCGCTGGAGTTCCTTGACCCAGGCTTTTGCTTTATCTAGTGAAGACTGGAGAGAACATGTGTTAGTTCGATTTGTTAAATCGAGCCTTTTGAGGAGATTTTGGGACGAACAGCTTGTGTGATATCGTAGACTACTACAGCGCAGTTGGCGTTACGGTAGTACATGGGCGCCAGTGATTTGTAACGCTCCTGGCCAGCAGTGTCCCTAAGATCCGAGTAAAGCGGTTAGTTTCAAGTCGCTCCGGAGCGAAATTCTCTAAGGAACTAAGCCGAGGGGAACTATAATGATAGCACTCACCAGATCTCAAACTTGATCGTGGTGGTCTCATCGAGGGCGATCGTTTGCGTCAGGAACGCAGCACCGATGGTAGATTCCCGGTAGTCGTCAAATTGATCCTAATGGGCATAACGTCGTCAGCAAAGAGCTACCCCGAGAAGCATCACCGGATAGAATAGGTTTGCACTGACTTTCACGAAACGGAGCACCAACGAACTCTGGAAAAATTAAAGGTTAGATAAGCAAGAAGCCGGCAAGACAAGAAACCACGACACGAAGAGGACACACCTTTCCAACAGCAGATTCGCCTAAATGCGGGGGGTAAGGAACCAAACGTTAGCGACAGCTTCCAGAGAGGCAGAATGACCAATCAAGAAAGTTGGCGAGAGAAGAGTACATGACATACCAAGGAGGACAAGCTTGAACTGGGCGAAACGTTGGGACTGAGTTGATGCACGGGGATGAGCCATGGCGAAATTCGGATGTGAAGGTTGGATAGAAGCTGGTCAAGGAGTTTGAGATTATGAAAAGAGAGAAAGAGAGGAGTGATTGAAAACTTGATATTGTTTGGCCGGTTCGTTAAAGTTGGTGATTGTGGAGGGGGGTGGGGATGGTGATTAAGAGGTGGTGATTGCGGTGATTACTGTAAACTGTGTAGATAGTGATGATGGGGGGAGGAACTGGAACAAGGCGTCGGGAGACTCGTAACGGTGGCGGTGCAGTGCCTATTTTATGGTGATTGCGTAGTTTACCCTTTTTTTTTTTTTTCTATGGGAGACAAAACTTTCCAGGTTTTTTTTTTCTTTCTTTGAAATATATCAACCAGGTCACGGGGAAGAGGAATATTCAGTTGGTGTTTATGTTTAGTTGATCAGATGTGAAGCTTGTTCAGTTCCTTCGTTGAGGTGACGAGGACTTGTGTGAATGCTGGATTGGACACGCGCGACTGGAACACAGAACAGAAGACTGAATACGATTGCCGCAAAGGGTCACTTGCCAGCAAAGTGCAAGAGAACTGGCTAGGGCGGCTTTAACACGAGTGGCTGGAGACAGTGGGAAGGCTTACCGCATTGGACAAAACTGCACTGTAAAGGGAAATTCATTCGCTTCATTTGGACTAGCCCGTTAGGCAGGGGAGAGCTTCGCTTATCGCAGCGGTCCCTGACATCTCTCTATCCAGCAGCCAAGCCTAGTGATAGGTAGAGCGAGCACCAGTACTCCGGAGCTATCCAAGGCAGTGTAGGTACTCGGGGCAGGTAAGAAGAACCCGAAAATGACTTTTGATAGTAACAACCTCTGATTCGCGGCTGGCGAAAAGCTACACCAAATTGAGCCCCTGCTTGCAGCTTGCATTTTCAGGTTCTTATTGCCGTCCCCGAGTACAAGTAGTGAAGCTCGGCCAGCGCCGGCGTCCTGAGTGAGAATACCCATAACCAACAACAGCTGCTGTCTCTTTCCCCCAGTCCATCTGTAAACTCACAGTATCCCATAGCTTTATATCTCATCTGTTTCTACGAGTCTACACCATCCGTGAATTACCTCCCTTCGCAAGTACTAGTGGTTATACAGCGTTCAGCTCGAAAACATCATGGCTACTGACGGCGGGACTGCTCAGGTCTACCCAAGCAAAGCTCTAGGCTTCCTGAGTATGTACTATTTCCTTTGCTTTTATCACTCTCTCTCCTCTCTCCCCACACACACACCCCTCACTTCCCTAGAAGCCCTAGCTCCATCCCATCATCTCCACAGTAGCAGTTTACCCCCCAAAGCCCCCCTCCTATCTAACCTGTTCTAGCTCTCGGTTCTTCCATCTATGAGGTCCTCACCTCCCTCCGCCGTTATCCTCGTGTGTTTCCCTCAATATCCGTCATCTACGAAGCCAGTGCTCCATTATCCACACCCGTCGTCCTGCTCCTCGATGCTAATGGCCTGCGTCTCCGCTTCGATGGCCAGGACCAACGTCTCCGACTCATCGAGGTCCTAGACTTCCAAAAGTCCCGGCTGACCTACAACGGTGGGGAGCTCGCAAAGGCTGGCACTGGCACGGGTGGCCCAACCTTCCGGAACATCTACAATAAGTTGTTTGGCCCTACTTATCCGGGGGAGTATATGGAGGACCAGGGGGTGTATGTGTTGTCGTACCCAGGCGTTGCGTTCTCGTTTCCTGTGGAGAAGCAGGACAAAAAGCCGGATGACTTTGTGTCATTGCTCATGGGGTCAAACGCACACACTGCAAGCAGCATGGCCATATATAACGGCTCCTCATGGTCCGATGCCCGGGATGGTCTGTTTACAAAGACGGTAACGGCCCCAAGGTCTCCAGGAATAAACAGTGCAAGCGCTCGACTGTCATCTGCCAACGATGAGATTGAGCTAGTGCGTCTCCATGACGACAATAAAGTCGAGCTTGTCCGAAGACACAACAAACCATTCTGTATAACTCTTCACTTGACAACACCGCAAGAGCTTGTTGCAGAGCTGGGTCCCCCAAGTGCCATCTACCGTAAGAATGATCACCGCCTAGCCATCCATAGAACACACTCGATGTCCGGTCGAGGTATTCAGGATGATACGGATGACACTGAGCCCGAGGACCCCCCGTCTGACGACGACAAAGATGTGTCTGATGTCTCTGCAACAAGCAACAGTGATTGCTTTTATAACTATTTCCAACACGGTATCGACATTTTCATCTCGTCCGCCCGCTCTTCATCTCACCCGGTGGCCACGAAGATTATCCTTCATGGCAACATCCCTGGCTCTTTTGAATTCCAAAGATACCGTCGGAGTAGATGGGTTATCGAGCTAGCAGACACGGGTAAAAAGAGCGAGTTGAAACTTCACAGCGAGGTGACCTTTGACGAGGCACTGCCGAAGCTGCGGGAAAGGTTTGGAGAGGGTCAACGTCCAATGTTACTAAATCGAGGAAGCGATTCTCCAAGCAGCAGCTGTGAACTGCTGGGCGGATGGGAGGATGGTGACAATGGCGAAAAGACAACCACGCTGGCTGGAAAAAGCGGGCCGGAGGCTACTTTTGGAAATACTGAGTTATTTGGCTTCCCAGGATATATTTTTGAGGTTCTGAAGAACCGGGCGGTGTCATCGTTGACTGTATTTTGATTTTCAGTTTGTTGACTGTAGTTTATTGGCGCACGGTGGTTTTCTTTTCCTTTCCTTTTCTTCTTTTTCCTATTTGACGTTCGTTGATGAGCTGAGGACATTTTCTGATATTATTTGTTTACAATAAGACTGTATCTGTAGGTTCGACATAGCATGATGGAGCGTAAATACCTCTAGATAGTAATGGTAGTTTATATCTTGGATCTTCTTGCTATATCATTCCCCAGCATCCTCAGCTCAACACCTTGTGAAGCAAAGCAGAATCCTTGTCATTCCTTGCAGTTACTCTCTGAAATACACTTACATACATGATATAGAACAGCTCTGGAGAGATAGCTCACCAACAAACACAAACACAAACACAAGCACAAGCACAAGCACAATAACAACTCAAACAACCAACCACCCTCTACTCCTCATCGTCAGCATCACTCCCACAAGGGGTATCCGCCCCACCGCACTCCGACTCAGTCACAACACTATATGCCACGCTCGCATCTCTCCTCTTAGCGGCCTCCCTCGCATCCCTCCGCGAAACCATCTCCTTCCACTGCTTGGCCCGCTTCCTCTCCTCCCGCGCCTCCGCACGCTCCCGCTCCTGCCTCAGCTCTGCCGCATCCCGTGCCTCGCGCCTGACCTTGCGGAACCGCTTCATCCGCCGCTGCTCCGGCGTGTGCTTGCCGCTGTCTGTGGCCGACGAGTTGTCGGAGCCGTAATAGTTATCCTCGTCCTCAGTGTCCGAGTCCGAGTCCGAGCCAGAGCTCTTCTCCTTCTCAGTCTTCTCCACGCCCTCGAGTCTTTGCTTCTCGCTCCTCCCCTCGCCACCGTCCTCATTATCCTGCCCCTGCCCCTGCTCCAACAACCCCGCCGCCGCTCCATCCTCATCACCATCCCCACCATCCCCGCCACCCCGTCTTCTCAACGCATCGACCGCCACCACGGCCGCCCCGCCACCCGTCAACAGGCCCGACGTCGTCGCCGCGGTCCCTAGCGCCGCAGCGCCATACCCGCCCATGGCCGCGCTCTGGCAGAACGCAAACAGGCTTCCAGCACCGACGGAGCCAATGCCTGACTGGATGCCCGCTGCAATGCTGCCGCCCACGACGCCCGCGGCGCCGAAGCCGATGGCGCCGAGCGCGGGGACGACGACGAGGGGGGCGGCGGTCGCGGCGCAGCCGGCGAGGAGGGCGTTGCGCGTGCGTGGGTTCTCGGAGAAGTAGGTGCTCATGTCGTCTGCGTGGGGGTTAGCTTGGGGGTTATGGGGGTGATTGGGGGTTTGGGGAGGGGAGGGGAGGGGAGGTGCGGACCGTAGAGACCCATTTTGTAGGTGTGGCAAAGTTTTGTGTTAGCTGTAGGTTTAATAAGTATCGTATGGTAGGTAGGTTTGTTTTTCGTAGAGCTCTGTAAAGCTATCCCCAGATTTTTATGGCCGAAGGCTAGCTAGGTAGGTAGGTAGGTAGGTAGGTGGAATTATCTACGGTGATCTAGATAGGCGCCACCCCTCAGCAGACTCAGATGTGTAAGCGCATAATAATATCAGGCATCCAATTATTTGGTGTTTGTCGAATCAGTGGCCCGGGAGGCTTGCCTGATGCCGCGGATGCCCGTGTTCGATGACACTCCTAGCTCGATCCCCGCCCGCGCCCCTTGAGGATGGGCTCCAGCGCCACCAGTATGTAATAGCAGCAGTAGTAGCAGTAGTAGCAGTAGTATGCTAGTGAGTAGAGCTACAATGCTCCAGCAGAAACAAAGCACCCACTGCCAATCTACCAATCTACCAATCTACAGAGTATCTACTCTGCCTGCTCTACACACTGCGCATACAATTAACAGCCCACATACCATTGACCGTAACCCCCGGCCAGAGACAGCTCCCTCCCCGGCCAGTCTCCTCCTCAGTCCCCTGCCCCAAGCTAGAGCAGAGCTCCACCCCGCTAGTCCCAAACAGACCACGGCTTGGCAGGGAATCATTTCTCCCACGCCCATACCCGCGCCCCCCCACGTCGTTGTTGTTTCAGCGCGTCTCCCGGCACTTTACACGACTACGCGCTCCTTTCATGGTTCGCTGTTTATAACATTTCTGTCTTTTTTTGCTATATTCTATTTTTCCTTTCTTCTCTGCAAGTCAAGTCATGGCTTCCACCACCAGCAGCAGCAGCAGCAGCAGCAGCAGCAGTAGCAACGCAGACCCACCGACCACCAAAGAGGCGCACAAAACACTGCGGCACTCGCTGCTCGGCCCGTCGCTGCTCAAGGCCGGGCAGGACCGCGTGAACCAGCAGAAGGTCGGCGAGATCATCTACAACGCCTCGAAGGGCTCAAAGTTCTTCAAGAACGAGGAGCGCAGGGACGAGCAAGTATGTTAAATATGTCGGATCTTTTTAATTTGCACATATGTAGCCAGAGCAGAATCTATAGAACTGTAGTAGTAATTATGGTCCCAAACCCGCAGCTTACAAAACGCATCGAAGGCATCTTGAGGCGCAAGAAGGAGCTGGAGGCGCACGATCTGTCGGTGCATGTGAAGAGAGTAGACGAACAGGTACACCGCACCACACTGCACTGCACATATACATAAAATCCTGATTTATTATTATTCTACAAAACTAGATCGCAGCCCTCGAAGCCAGCCGAGACCTGTCACAGACAATCATCCACGTCGACTGCGACGCCTTCTACGCCTCTGTCGAGGAGCTCGACCGCCCGGAGCTCAAAGAGGTGCCGATGGCCGTGGGCGGCGGCGTCCTGACGACGTGCAATTACAAGGCAAGGGAGTTTGGGGTGCGGAGTGGGATGGCGGGGTATATTGCGAAACGTGAGTGCTCCTGGTGCCCCGAGTGGTGTGGTGGTGGCTGATTAATTGGGTGTAGAGCTGTGTCCGCACTTGATCTTCCTGCCGTTGAATTTCGAAAAGTACGGGCAGAAGGCCGAGGAGGTGAGGGAGGTGCTGGTGAAATATGATCCGAGATATGAGGCGGGGAGCTGTGACGAGGCGTTTCTGAATATAACGAAGGTCAGTGGCAGTGACTTGGACGGGATGGCAAGATCTGGAGATATATATTCTGCATTGGATATCAAGGGGCTTGATAACTGAGTATTCATCCAGTACTTGGAAGAGCACCCAGAAATGACTCCAGACACAGCTACAGAGCAGATACGAGCAGAGGTATTCGCTCACGCCAAAATCACAATCTCTGCCGGAATTGCGCCAAACGCTAGGGTAAAACCTTCATTCCTGTCATTACCCCCCACTCAATATCTAAATTAAAGCACCATGAATGTAGTTAGCCAAAATCGCCTCCAACCAGAACAAACCCAACGGCCAATTCGTAAGTCCCCCCCTCCGTGACTCCCCCACAAACCCCCTTCTCACAGCTCTCCCTCCGGCGAACAGCGAATCCAACCCACCGTCGACGCAGTCCGCACCTTCATGTCCGCCCTCCCCGTCCGCAAAGTCAACGGCGTCGGCCGCGTCTTCGAGCGCGAGCTGCAAGCCATCGGCATAAACACATGGGGCGACGTCTACCCCCTCCGGCACCTCCTCCAGCCGCTCTTCAGCGAAAAGCTCGCCTCCTTCCTCCTCAACTGCTACCTCGGCCTCGGCCGCACGCACGTCCAGCCCGTCGAGGAGTACGAGCGCAAGAGCATGGGCACCGAGTCCACATTCTCGGACCTCCACGGCGCGGAGCCGCTCCGCGCAAAACTGAGAAGCACGGCAGTGGAACTGGAGAAAGACCTGGCGAATGCGGGGCTGAAGGGACGTACGGTGAATCTGAAGGTGAAGCTGCACACCTATGAGGTGTATACGAGGCAGAAGGCACTCGGGAGAGCGATATGCACGGCGGACGACTTGTATAACACGGCGCTGCCGCTGCTGGCAGGACTGGAGGTCGAGTTTCGGCCACTAAGGCTGAGGCTGATGGGGCTGCGGCTGACGCAGCTGGTAGACGCGAGTAAGGGACCTAGCAGGCTGGAGGAGTTGTTTAAGAACGCGGGGGCGGGGGCGGGGAAGCGGAAGCGCGAGCAGGACGATGAGGGGTGGGAGGTGTGGCCGGAGGAGGAGTTTACGCAGATGAAGGCCGCCTCGGGCGAGCAGGAGGAGGATATCCTGCTGCTGTCGCAGCATGAAGTCGTGGATGGCGACGAGGAGGGCGAAGAGGTGTCCGCCGCCGCCGCCGCCGCCGAGGTAGCGGTGAACTCCAAGGACGCCCCAGAGCAAGCACCCGAGGAGGAGAAATGGCCGTGCCCGATCTGTGCGCGGATGCTGCCGGCAGAGGATGCGCTGTTTAATGAGCATGTGGACTTTTGTCTCTCGCGGGAGACGATTAAGGAGGCGGTGAAGGGGTCGTCGAGGTCGCCGGACCCGCCGGAGAAAGTGCAGCAGCACCAGCAGCAGCAGGAGAAGAGGCCGAGGTTGGGGGAGAGGAAGAGGAGGAGTAATGGGGGGAGGGGAGGTAGGGGTGAGGCGGATGGGGGGGAGGGGCTAATTAGACAGTATTTTGTAAAGCCGGGGTAGATAGATTATAGAGTGCTGCGGTGTTCTTTCGGGTTTGTTTTTCTGTTCTTTTGTTTTGTTTTTCTGTTCTTTCTACTTGGCTGCTGTTTCTGTTTTTCTGTTCTTTCTACTTGGCTGCTGTTTCTGTTTTTCTGCCCTGGTTTCTTTTCCTTTTTTTTATACCCGGGGATTGGTTGTGTAAATTTGAAGCTGAGATGGGATTAATCGGTTGCGATCATAGAGACAAGAAGTCGGGGTGTATGTATGTACATGTACTCTAGTTATCAAATTGTAGAAAGATTCATCATATCCTCTGATGCCGTAATATTTCTAAGATGATCTTTATGACATGCGCCACCATACCCTATGGCCCAACGAAAACTCATTGATACTTTTGGTGTTGGCTCGTGAAATTCCGTCACAGATTATCACTCGTAGCCTCTAGATAAGTAATTGATTGATTGATTGATTGATTGATTACTTCATTAAATGTTGAAAGCAGGACGAGTCTTGGAGTTTTTCAATTGATGTCTAAAGCTGATTGATACAAGCTCTCTTGTAGGAGACCTGACTGCCTTGAACGACACATCTCAAACAAGTAAAACCCTTCCCACAAGTACCACACACACCCACTACTATGACCGGGACATCATAGAATAGAACCCAGGGACATGGAGGTAGTCTCTCTCTTTAGTAATTACTAGCTACCTGGGACGACTCATAGAGTTGCTCTCCCGCCTTAATTCCTTGGATAATGTACCAACTCTTTATAACTCAGCACTACCCCCAAGGCTTGATACACTATTCCAGGTTCCAAAAGATATAGTTCAGATAAAAAGGGACGATTTACAAACTCCCGCAACGCCATAATCCCGGCCACACCGGCCATATAAAAATAAAGAAGAAAAGGAAAAGCTCAAATACTCCCCCCGCTCCTATTCTGCCCAATCAGCCCCGCCATCTCCAGCAGCGCCTACTCCCGTCAGTACAACCCTCCCACAAAGTCCTAGTTCCGGAAGACAGCAAACTCACCCTATCCGCCTCGATATCCTTCCCCAAATTGACCTGTCGTCTCAACAGCGCCTCCCGCTCCTCCCACGCCCACGCCTTCCTCTGCGCCTCCGCCTCACTATCGCCGCCGCACCCCCACACCTCGATCTCTTCAATCTCAAACACGTCCTGCCATTCCTGCTCGTCTCTGGCATCGTTAGTGTGGAAGGCGCCGCCGTGCCCAATGTGCTGGAATACGCCGAACTCGAGCGCCGGGTCGAAGGTCAATGACACGGGGCCGAGATTGAGGTACGGCCCGCGCTGGCTGGCCTTCATCTTCTGCACGGGCGAGCCGAAGCCGATGCCGTCGTCTTTGTTGAAGTAGGCGTAGTCGGTGGATGCCGTTGAGGCGTGGAAGGTTCTGTGCGTGGGCTCGAGCTGGAACAGGATGCTGTTGGAGTCGCCGAAACAATCTATAATCCAATCCACTGGTTAGTAGTCTCAAAACAGTGTGGGTTTGTAGGGTTGGTAAACCTCGGTGCGACACTCGCCATGGATGGTGCATGTACACCCCGTAAACAACCCTCTCATCTATTTCACCGCCCGCAGCATACTTCCTCGGCGGCAGCCTATCGCAGAACATCTTCCGCTGGTGTGTTTCCGGGTTTCTAGAGACGCGGGTGCCAGATACTAGTAGTATAGTTGGAGCGGTCCATTTTACGACCTTTGTCTCGAACGAGCCCATGCTAAAGCCTGCCTCTGAGCCGGCGTAGAGAGGCCGCAGCCGCCGCCAGAGATTGTCGCCTTTGATGAAGAGGGAAATCTGGCTGAGGAGGTTCATGTCTAGGATCTGGCCCGTGTGGGGGAGGAGTGGTTCGACTTCTGTTACTGCTGTGTGGGAGTTGTCGACTTTTTTGCAGAAGAGGAGATGCTCGAAGAGTGGGGATAGGCTGTCGAAGAGGAAGGGCTTTGAATGGGTAGTGGTTAGCTAAGACTCAAGTTGAGAGTAGAACCTTTCGAGGAACAATCCTTACCATTGACTCCTTCACAGTCTTTTTGAAATCTCTATATAAAATCCCCTTCCCGTCTCTACTCTTAAAAGATCTAACGACACACTCCGCAGTGTCCCTCAATTCCTGCAGAGCCTCTGGTGTAGAAAACCGCTCTGCGAACACTGCAATAGGCTGGTTCGGCTCCAGCGGCGCAGCCACTAGTAGGAATGCCACGAAATTTCTCAAGTTCTCTAACGGTATACGCGCATGGCTAATATTCGACTTCTCAACCTGCCCAAACACCTCAATCGCATCTAGCGCATCCAGCGCCGCCAGCGATAGATCGTCGTCATCATCATCCTCATAGTACTCAAACTCCGGCTCCGAGACCTGCTCCTTCCTCCCCTCGCCATCCTGGCGGTCGTACACCGCCAGCGACCGGAACAACAGCTTCACCGGGTCCGGATGGCGCTTCAGCACCTTCTTATACCTACCCGTGAAGATAGTCACGACCTTCACCAGCGCCTCGAAATTCAGGATGGCCGGCGACAAGCTCGGGAACGGAAACGCGCCCAGGTACGACGTCGACTGGAATATGATTGAGCCGACCTGCAGGCAGTCCGGGATGGACAGGAAGCGGATCAAGGTGTCCTCGTTCCAGTACAGGAACCCGCCCTCGGAGTTGTTGCTGTCGGCGAGACTGCGGAAGTTGTCTTTGAACGAGTAGAACTCGACGCCGTTGAAGCACTTCTGCGCAAACCTTTCGGCGAGCTGCAGAGAGAGCTCCTCTAAGCTCCCCGTTAGCTATAGTGTAGGGGTTATGCATGTGTGGAAATAGACACTAACCTGCAGTAGCTTTGTGGACTTCGCCGGATTGACCCTGACCCATTGCGGATGTATTTCGTCTTGTTCAGGCTGTAGAGGTGCGAGAAAAATACGGGAGAGATGACTGTTGTTTGCTTGAGAGCTCTGGGGTGGTGTGAGATGAGGTCACTTTTGAGGCTCTGGCAACGGGTGGGCAGCCCTAACCCTTGATGGGACAGGGAGCTAGGTAAACACTGAATTAATGATCAGCTGGATGTAACGCCCGATATACCCCACTGGTCTGCTATTTTAGAAGGTACCTACAATATGTACCCTCTTGCAGTGTTCGGGTGCCTTCGGTAGCGAATATGGCTCTGTGGGTTGACTTATGGGCGAATAGACGGAGGCAGAGTAACATTTCGCCCGAGAGAAATGATCTCGGGTTCAACTTTTGCAATTTAGGGGGGATCTCTCCACATGAACAGTTGGTGATCCCCTCAACAAACATAACCGGGGTTTCCGGTCCCGAAAACAATGGGCGGTAACCAATCAGATGGCTCCGCCTTTGCTGCTCCCAAATTATCCGCAGTTGAATAGGTAATCATGTCCAGTGAGGGCACCACCATTTTACCCCAGGATCGCCCAAGATTGGCTGGCAACAAGGCCTTCAGAAAATCTGAGCACTCATGCTGCTGTCTTTGGGGGGACTATATTGCACCGGCTTATTTGATTTTCATATGTTCTGACTCGGAGGATGTGCAGATAACCTTATCTTGCATCTATCCACTAGCGGGTTCGCTTTGTCAGATCTCCGGTCTGTGCTGCTCTCGTGATGGAGATGGAGGATGAGATAACAAGGACTTGATTTGCTCTAGTTGAGGAGGATGAACTTCTCTACATATATATGGTCGCTATCCGGAATACCCACCTTCATTTATGCTAGCGCATATCACTAGGACTAAATTTCTCATTGGATCGCTGCTGGTCACGCCGCAAACTGTTTTCTGTCAACGATCCACCCATTATCACCAGCTTCCGCGACAAGAAGTAATATCTCAACTCCTGGAGATGTCGAGTTGTGAGCATAACTGTAACAGCTTCACACAGAGTCTCGGTTCCTGCGAGCAGAAAAAAGAAAAGAGCTCTCTGTAGCTCCCATCACACCGAAATCTGAGCTCACACCCGAGTGACGACTCATGAACTCGGCAACAGAACGCTAGCACTGGACAACACCAAAACCCTTGCATGAAGAATTACGGAAGATGTTCCATCCATCCGCGCCGAATGTCTCATTTCCATGGTTCTTTTTTAGAGTAGACCCTTGAAATGTAGAATCGATCTGGGCGGGCGCTACAGGTATGTATTGGCACGAGGGGTAGGTACTCTACCAGTGAATGTGGGGGCTTGTACATCAAGTAGTGAGGATCACGTATCACGTATCATGCATGGGGATGATGAATGATGAGCACTCAGATGCTCTTCCATCTGTGGGCTATTGGGTTGGCTGGTCGGTTGTCTCGTCCGCGCCCGAGAGAGACGTGAGTGTACCTGCTACCTAATGAATTGCCTAGAGTCTCAGAAAGGGCAACAACATATTTAACTTCAGCCTTATTTCTGTTTAATTTTGATAATTCAAAGCACACAGCATTGTTTTTTTTTTTTTTCAATGCAAGCTCAGTCGACGTACGTCGCGACCGATATTATGCTGGAGTTTATGTTGATAATAATGAGGGGTTGGCCACCTCGACGTCTACCCCGCGGTTGAGCGGGGGAATTTAAATCCCCCCCACCAAGAAAAGTTCCAGCGGAAATCTCGGTTTCGGGAAATTATTATATTCTGGACCACTCTTCGGCATATTTATGTTAATGGGAGCCGCCGCCGCTCAGAGACATGGCGATTGCGGCACTAGCTTCGCCCTTTCTCTTCTAGGTACTGTGCAGCATGGTGCGCGCGTATTTTTGGAACTGGTGCTACGAGTGATAGAATATGATCCTCGTGAGCTTCCCCGGGCATCTCGGCTCAACCAACGTCATACTGTTTGCATGTCCCTGGGGGTTTCCGCTGAAGCGTAGATCAACCCCACAATCACAGATCTGTTTTGATAAAAAGCGCAAGGACGCGTGAGAGGATTTTCCTTGTTAATAAAAAGATGTTATGCGTGAGGCAGTTGGCCTGGATGATAACTCGACCATGAGTTGCCGGTTCCACTGTCAGGTCCCTACAGGATATCATATGTGGACTCGTTATTGGTCTTGAGGTTCGCAGTGTCGCTGCATTGAGGCGATCCCAACCCCCTTATAGGTGGGGGTACCCGAGGAGAACAACCTTCTGGAGGGGTTCCAGCCCATCAGTGCCTGTGGCTGGCAGGCTGTTCCTTTCATGATTATGAAATTTAGACATTCTAAGCGTCGAGATAGAGGTATTCCAGCCAACAGATGTCTAGACATACGATGTGCCAAAGTCCTCGCTTGTGTTTCCCCTTTGAAACATCTGGTCGTAGTTAGTTAGCGGCTGCTTAGGTATTAGTCTAGCACAGTAATCCCTAGGCTACTGCACTCCGCAGTCAAGGACCCTTTTCTTCCAGGCCCGTACGGTACGTGGAAGGCGGAGCTTCGGAGGCAAAAAAACAAAAAAATAAACAACGAGCCCAAACATCCAGATCAATTGCTTGTTTTTTGTTTAGAGAATCGCGTTATGTCCACTGCCCTTGTGACCGATGACATTGAAAGGAGAAGAGGGGGTTCGAACTACCCCGCGATTACTGACCCATTAATTGAGAAGAGGGAGGGGGTAGGGGGGTGTTGGAATAGAGGGAGGGAGGGGGATCGATCAGTGGAGTGGTTGCTATGTAACGCGATTCCTGACCGGGAATCTAGAGTCCTAAACAACCATCCTTCAAGTCGCAGCGACTCTAACCTGCTCAGTCGTCATCCCGCTCGGTTCGGCATAGAGTGAGGGTGACTGCAGGCAGACAAGACAGACCAGACAACGGGGGGGGAGGGGATAAGCAAGCAGGCAAAGCAAAGCAAGCAGACCACTGGTGAGCTTCAGCTCTTGCACGGGAGTGGGTAGAGTAGGGTACTCTCCATAGAGTTACCTGCATGCAGCTAGCCTGGCGGTGTGAAGGGAAGTTGGGGTGAAGAAACCTGTCTGACTGACCGAATGAAAGTGAGTTGAGTTGAGAACAAGTGACTGACCACGAGAGCTTGGGCTGGGGAGTTCTTCAGAACGTTTGAGACTCGAGAGAGACGACGACGACGGTGTATCGTGGTCATTTTCTCACTCTCCATATTCCTTACCTCCTTATACTTCTTCATACTCCTGCACTTACACCAAGTAATAACCCGTACCTGCCCTCCCCCTCGTCGTCCTCTCACATTCACACATTCACCCCCTTTAGCCTTTCATCCTTTGGCATTTCGTTCATTCTTCCACCCCCCCACACACTCGACGATCATATCCAAGAGCAATAGCACAGTGACAACAAACATCACAACACAACAACGTACATACGTTAGTGCAGCATCGTCACCGGCACCTCAACAAAAAACCCAATACGATAGTTACTGTTTCGTTCCTTCCACATACCCATATCTCGAACCTGGAGTTTAGGATTACCTTTTGGGATATACCCCATTCCACTTGACTTCTAAAACTTTAGCAAAGACCTTTCCATTATTTGCTCCGTCGACTGCAACTGTGCCCATCACGGCTGTCATGCCATTTGCGCAATGAAAGTTCCCGTCATGACAATTACAGCATCTACAACATCCACTACGACCGCTCCTAGCTCCACAAACAACTCAAATATGTCATCCTCAGCTGATCCAAGATTACGGAAGAAGCCCTCTGCCATGTCATCCACTACTACAAAGCCAACTACTGCTAAAGCTCCCCTTCCTCCACCCACAACCCCAACATATCCCCGTATGGCACAGCGTCCTACAGTCTCTCTCTCAAGCACCACGATATCCAACCCTACGCTTCACCCAAACGTAACAACTCGTTCACCTCGATCGACGAGAAAACCCAGAGCAGACACCGTTTCCTCCGGTGTATCCCAATTGCACATCCCCTCCCGACCACCCTCCGCGGCAGATCTTCAGAGGCCATCTAGCGCTACTGGATCTCGAGTTTCCGTGAGATCAGAAAGATCAGATAGACCAGACTCCCGCCAGTCACAGTACAGGTCCGATTCTCGCCAGTCGCAGTATGGAGCTGTCAGCCCCAATCCACGGTTTTTTCACGCAATCGATGCGCGAAGTACAAAGCCAACGCCCAAGGCGCCGCCCCCCTTAAGGCACGAGTCCAGCAACACCGGAAAGTTCTTTTTTGCAAACAGCATACAGACATCATCGCGAAGTTCGTCCCCAGCACCTTCGCCCCGAGTGCCCGGAATTTCTCCTATGGCCATACTGGGTGAACCCCCTAGCCTTTCACCGTCACTTCCAATTTTGGCGCGCTCAGATTCTCGTGGTGGTGGTTCAGTTGTTGGCGCACGGTCTCGTCCCTCGTCCATGGTGTCGCAAGGACCGTCGTTATTTCCGGAAACCCGAAACCATGTCAAATTTGTATATGCAAATGGGACGGAAGAAGTGCTGGAACCCAGAGGGTCGGAAATGGGCAGGGGTTCGGAAATTGGCAGATCGGAACTTGGCAGGTCAGAACTTGGGCGAGGGTCATCGGAATATAGTAGGGGCTCCGAACTAGGAAAAAGCTCGGAAAATGGATCTGTTTTGCATTCCCCTCAAATTCCAAGTTCACCAAATGGAACTTATTTTCCATTTACGAAGCCATTGTCACCCACGGCGTCGCCTAATCCCAACATTGCTCCAACCTCACCATTTCAAAGACCATCACCCCCAAATCATTCGCGACGGACGAGCCTAGAGGGAATAGCAGCCCGACATGGACGAACACTCTCGATTAGTTCGATCATTGATATGGCGGATCTCTTGGAGGAGGAAGCTTCTAAGGTGCCGGAAACCCCAGCCGAGAAATATGCGCGGCGGTCATCATCTCCCCCGGCTGTAATCGCGCTAGCTCCACCGGCAATGACCGCGAAGGAGCGAATTGCAGCCAGGGAAGAGGCCGCTGCAAAGGCCCGGAAGGAACGACAGGTATGCAATCATGTTATCCATTTGCGTAAGGTGTAGGTGTTTCCTACGATGCTAATCTCACTTTCTAGGTTCTCGATTTGGAAATTTCCAACGCCTCCTTGCTAGCGATCAACAAAACACTCGAACGCCAATTGAAGAAGCAGACAGCCGAGCTCAGAAGGTACCGACGGCTATCGCGTTCCGGGCGTATTCCAGCTTTGCCCCCCAAGAAGAAGAAGAAGCGGAGAGGTTCAAACGAGGATCCGGAAGATAGCGAAGGTTATCATGTGAAGGATGGTAGCGACCTTGATGCCGAGTACGAAGATGGGGAAGATGAGGAAGAGGAAGAGGAGGAAGAAGAAGAGGAGGACTCCGATACGACCGGAGAAGACGGCAGCGTCGGGAAAGAGAATTGTGCGGACGAAAAGAGGTTGAAGCTGGATCTTTCCAAGCACCAGGAACTTTTGGACAATTCTGCCAAAATGAATGCCTCTTTGAAAGGTTGTCAATCAATCGTTGACCAGCTCATCATGGAGGCAAAGAAGGCACTGGAATACAAGATCCGAGCATCGGACGTCCACCTCGGAGGGAGGATTCTGAGCTACGACGCGGAAGAGACGGAAACGGAATTAGAGACAGAGGCGGAAGAGGGGACGGATGACGGTCATGACGATGACCAGACGGAAACTGAGGATGGGGAGGACTACGATGATGACGATCTGGATAGTGAGGAAGATGAGGATTTAGAGGAGATGGAGGAGGTGCATTTGCCGGATGCCAATGGGATAGGTAAACCGATATACCTGCCTACACCCCTAGTGCAAACTGTCGACGGCTATGTATAAGATGGAGGGGGAAAAACCATCTTATGCGGGTATTACAATGGGATAGAAAGGCCCCGAAGAAATAATAAAGAGCTGTTTTGGGTTATACCCCCATATGGGGGAAAACATGATGTTATCGTTGTTGCTGTTGTTCTTTGGTGGGAACCGCGTGGGTATTTTGATATTAGCGGATGGCGTCGAGTTCTTTTTTTTTTTTTACTGCTTAAGGAAACGGGTTAGGTTTTTGTGGGATGGCTTATTTGATCTTTTTCAGGCCTTCCGTCGCCTGTTGTTTTTGTTTTTGTCTTGTCTGCTGCCTGGGCCATTGACAGCCGTTTTGCCATTTGTGTGTTTTGTGTGTTTTGGGTTTTGCATTCCTTGCCTTTTTTCCTCGGTCCTGTTTCTTTTGTGTTTCTTCTTTGAAATATCCATTATGCATTGCAGCCACCTTCCCCTGCCTGCCCCCCATTCATGAGTTATGACTCGCACACATCATCACCATCCTTTTTTTTAGAAACTTAAGCTTGCCGGTATCTCTTTACACTTTTTCTGTTATACGCTTCTTGTATTATATGACTCCCGGAGTGAGTTTTTTCTATTTACTTTTTTTTCTTTCTTTCTCTCTGATACTGGACAGCTGGATTATGAGGAGTGGTGTTTTTTTGTTTCTTAAGTACTTGGTTAGCTTACCTTATACCTACATTACATCCTATCATTACTGGGTTATCTATCAACGCTTTTGAACAACAATTCGTCCTGTGTGTGTGTGTTCCTGATCCTTACTCGCAGTATGGCCAATTGTGAATGCTGGTTGGTAGTAAGTACATGTACACATAGGTACAATACAATACCTACATATAAAGACTGCTGCAGGCTCAAATGGCGGGGTGGGTTTGTCAATATGTATATACAATATCTAATTGCGTTTTTCGTTACCTCTGCATCGCATCCCGAGCTTCCTATTCCCTGTCCTTCGTTGCCGCCGCAGCAGCCATAGCCGCCCTCCTCCGCTCCGCATGCCTCTTCGCCCGTTCCGCCATCTACCCACCGCACACCGTCAGCCCACACCCTTCATCCCCACTGCACCCCTTCCCTCTTCTCCCCCCCCCCCCCCCCCCACCCACAAAAACCCAAACCGCCCCCGCAAAACCAAAGGAACAAACATACCTCCCGATCCTCCCGGTCCCTAATCTCCAACTCCTTAATCCACGCGGCCCTCTTCTCCTCGCCCTTCTTCTCCGCGACGATCGCCTCGACGGCGCGCTCCTCGGCGCGCTCCTTCTTGTAGTACACGGATCCCGCGATCATGGCCGCGACGGTGAAGCCCTGCGCGTAGATGCGTGCGCGGAACCATTTGTTGGTCGCCGCCTTGTTGCCGGCGCGGATGGAGCGCGTGGCTTGGAGGAGGGCCAGGCAGGTTAATGCTGCGCCTGTGGTGGGGGTGGAGTGTTAGCTGGTGGTGTATGGGGGCGGTGGTGGGGTGGACGGTGGTGGGGTTAATTGGGGGGAGGTGGGGGGACAGTGGGAAGGGGAGAGAGGGAGGGGGCAGACCGAACGGGATGAGGGGCTCTTCTTTGAAGCGGCGGGAGAACTTTGACCAGCGGGACTCGTCGTAGAAGTCGCTGCAGGTCACTCTTTGTTAGCTTTCCCTTCATTGCGTGACTGTACTGTGTTCTAGCTAGAGGACCGTGAGAGAGCGGGGGTACTAACGGCGACTCGTCGAATGAAGACGGGAGTGGGCGGGAGGACATTGTTTAAATTCTGGGGTTTCTGGTACTGCTTGTGGTGGCTGCAGTTGTAGATGGTTGTAGTGGATTGTAGATCGTGGTTTGGTGGTTGCGCTGAGGCCGACGTCACATGGATGCGAGATCATTGGCACCTGGCCCGGGTATGGCGGCTGGCGTGGGGAGGCGTATTTGTGGGCCCTAACTTGCAATGGGGGATCGATTGTATTGATTGTGCTGCGTCATGGCTTTTGACTCGGTTTTGTGTGAGTGCGGATGTCTGTCAGGGCGGAGGGAGTGTTAAGATAGAGAGGTAGAGTGTGTGGTTTTTGTACATGATTGAGTCTCTCTTCCCTCTTGGATTAGTCTCTATTCACGATTGTCCCAGCTGTCATGTCAAGCCGCAATTCCCAGCCATTACACTTACGAGCAGAGTCGCAATGGGTTTCTGGTTCATGGGTTATGACTCGGCTGTGAGTAATTCATAGTAGAGAGGCTCTTAATCACTAATAACTATTACATGTACATATGATCATTTCCCACAATTGAAAATCCTTTCTATCCAACAAATAGTACCCCTAGTCTCTCCCTCTCCTCTCTTTCACCCACCGGCATTCGTTTCCGGGTACAAACCACACCCGTGCAGAATCCCGAGCCTGAAGATTTTTCCGGGGAGCTTTTTGGTGGGGTATCGCATTCTAGCTCTCATCCATGCACGCAACCCCACCACGACTCCTCACCTGCCCAACCCAACTCTCACCCCCGACTACCGCACCGCACCGCACCCCCGAATAACCCCCCCACCCACCGGCAATGGAGCCCAAAGGTACCAGTCTCACCGAATACAGCTCCGCCGTGCCAGATACCGGCGCCACGAAGGACCCCGTCGCGCGGGCAGCCATTCCCTCTGCGCTCACACAAGATGACGGCGCCCCCGACGTGAGTCTAATTATCGCGCAGCAGTGTTTTTTTTTACATGTTTCGCTGATAGGTGCGGTAATAGTACATGCGACTCATCCTGACATCTCGGGTCTACGATGTCATCAAGGAGACGCCCGTCACGCATGCCGTTAATCTGTCGAACCGACTGGGCTACAAGGTGCTTATGAAGCGGGAGGACCTGCAGCCGGTGTTTAGCTTCAAGCTTAGGGGCGCATATAACAAGATGGCGCACATGCCGGTGGAAGACCGCTGGAAGGGCGTGATTGCCTGTTCTGCCGGTATCTCTCTCTCCCCCGTCCCCGCCTCTCCTCCCGCCCCCGCCGCATTGAGAGCTCCCGCAGTTACTTACCCGTGCACAGGAAACCACGCCCAAGGCGTCGCCTACTCGGCCAAGCACCTCGGCATCCCAGCCACCATCGTTATGCCTCTCGCCACGCCTAGTATTAAAACCGCCAACGTCGCCCGCCTCGGCTCCCAAATCGTCCTGCACGGCGCCGACTTTGACGCCGCGAAGGCCGAGTGCAAGCGCCTTGAAGAGAAGCACGGCCTCACAAATATCCCCCCCTTCGACGACCCGTACGTCATCGCCGGCCAAGGTACCATCGCCATGGAGCTCGCCCGCCAGGCTAACATCGCAGACCTCAAGGCTATCTTCTGCTGCGTGGGTGGTGGCGGCCTCATTGCGGGTATTGGCTGCTATATCAAGCGCATTGCTCCTCATATCAAGATCATTGGCGTCGAGACGCACGACGCAAATGCAATGGTCGAGTCGCTGAAAGCCGACCACCGCGTTGAGCTCAAAGAAGTCGGCCTCTTCGCCGACGGTGCCGCAGTAAAGGTCGTCGGTGAAGAGACCTTCCGCCTGTGCAAAGAGTACGTCGACGAGGTTATCGAGGTCTCCACCGACGAGATCTGCGCAGCGATTAAAGACGTCTTCCAGGACACGCGCTCCATTGTCGAGCCCGCCGGCGCCCTCGCCGTCGCCGGAATGAAAAAGTACGCCGCGCTGCACCCGCCCACAGACCCCCAGGACTCGCTCTGCGCGGTGCTGTCCGGCGCGAATATGGATTTTGACCGTCTGCGATTTGTCGCGGAGCGCGCGAGATTGGGAGAGGGGCATGAGGTGCTGCTGTCGGTGATTGTGCCGGACCGCCCAAAGGTATTTTATGAGATGATGCAGTGCATCATCCCACGTGCTGTGACGGAGTTCTCGTACCGTTTCGGGGACGGCGAGAGGGCGAGCATCTTTATGAGTATACTTGTCGGGGACCGGGAAAAGGAGATTCCAGAGATATTAGAGAGCTTTGAGAAGAAGGGGTTTGAGGGAGTTGATATCAGCGACAATGAGTTTGCGAAGAGCCACGGGAGGTATCTAATTGGCGGGAGGATGCCGAATGGGATGGAGGACGAAGAGAGGGTGTATCGGTTTGGTGAGTACTTCCTTTATCAACCATCCACTACTGTACTCCATATGGCTAACACACATGTAGAATTCCCGGAGCGCCCAGGCGCACTGTCGAAATTCCTAGAGCTCCTCCGTCCGGAATTCAACATCTCGCTGTTCCACTACCGGAACTACGGCGGCGGTATATCACCCCCCCCCCCCCCCTTCTTTACATCTATCCTCTTCGGCTCTCAATACTAACACACGGATAGATGTCGGAAAGGTACTAGCAGGTATCCAAGTGCCTCCCGGCAAGCGCGAGGCGCTTGAGCAGTTCCTGGTACAGCTCGAGTACCCATTTGTGGATGAGACGGAGAATGGGGTGTATAAAAAGTTTATGACACAGGAGGGGAGGTCTTAGCTGTAGTTGTGTAGTTGTATTTGGTAGAAATAGAAATTTGCTGGGTTTTTTCTTGCGTCACAAGGTGTCACTCGGTGTTTGGTGTGTGTGTAGTAGAAGCGTTGGTGTTGTTACTTGTGGGTTTATGCTGGGATAAGGGTGTGGGGTGGAGTGTAGTTGCTTGATACTGTGCTAGCCTGTATGAATGAGCACACAGTCCAAGACTCCCCTCCGGCCAGTAGCTATAGACTGTTTCTGTGAATTAGTGATGTGGTAGGCCGGGGGTGTGTCGGACGGGTATACATACTGGAGTCGAGAAATAGAATAAAATAAATAGGGTGTGGTGCGGTCTCTACGTTACTTATTTGTAGCGGTTCCTATAGTTGCTGTGTCGGCTTACCTACTTACTACTAATTAATGAATTAAACAACAAAAAAAAAATACCTACTTACTACTACTACCGGCCCCCATCCCACCTGAGTGCTGTGTGTGTGTAAATAGCTTGGTGCCGAGGTTGTGGTTGGAGTTAGGTGTATGTTGTGTTTCAGTGGTCAAATATATCATTGACACTTCCCCCCAAGCTAGCTTCGAAAGCCAGGGGTGGCCGGGTAGCCGAGCTGTTGGTTTTCGAGTACTTTCTAAGAGTCTTGCTCTGGCTCTTTAGTCTGTTGCTTGGATGAAGAAGGATGAGAGGGGTGATGATGATGATGGCTGGGATTAGACGGGCTGCCACAGCTTAAGTTATAGGGCCCGAAGCTAACACATATGCTTAACTGACTCCAGCCACGTAACTGTTGTAACGCGTTTGAACACCTGGTCGGAATAACGGGATGGTGGTCTCTACAAGGAAGCCTCGTGGAGCTGCAACTCTCGGGCGGGCGGTGACTAATCTAAGACTTCACGGAGCGGCGAGTGGCGGTGCGAGGCGAGTGAGAACACTCCGCTATATGGCCTTATCGATAAGTGCATGTAGGTAGAGTACAAGCACACCCCGGCTGTAGCCGGGATACCATGCGAGTGATATTCTGTGATCCACTGCGCACGCGAGCCACGCACGTGTTTCAAAAACCACCGAACCCTCAGAAGAGCACTTTAAGATTGACTCCGTGCCCGGCGGTCGGTGGCTGTCCTTTGTGCAAGTGTTTATTAATAATAGCATGCGTGCTATTAATTATCAGAGGACAACGCATACCCGGCCAGCCAGGAGAAAGCTGTGTGGACCCTTAAACGTACGTGCACCCTGTCAATAGTAGGGTCTTGTATTAGCATCCCTGCCTACGATGGATATTGAAATTTACTGATTACTTTAGATGCGGTTTTCACTTCGTATCTGTAAAGTGCATGTAGTTTACAGATGATATTAAATTAGTTGGTTAATTAGTACACAGTAGAGTACAGGTAGAGTACAAGTAACCACTAAATAATACCATACTTACCCCCGCCTAGCAATCCTTCCACCCCCCCTCCCCCCACGTATGCGGCTCAACTGACGTCACCGAACCCTCTAACCCTTCCAAATATTCTTCCCCTAAACAACCACTTCAACTAGTCCTTCAACCCATCACCACTACCATCACAATGCTCTTCAGACTCACCGCCCGCTCCCTCCTCATCCCCCGAGCACCTCTAACTCGCACACTAGCATCCACATCCTTCGGTGGCCGCAACCCTGTAGACGTTAAAGTAGATGAGATCTCTGAGCAGTAAGTTTATACCCACCTACCTACCTACTTAATAGCTACTGGTAGTGGTACTAGTTGTGATGAGAGTGTAAATACTAAGCTAAGATTGTACTTGTGTGTGATAGATATGCAATTGCAAAAGATGAGGTTTGTACATTTTCCCACACCACAACAGCTTTAATGATGACTCGAAATATGCTAAAGAAAATACTGTTTTATAATTGGTAGTTAGAAATCGCTGGTACGGAGCAGAAACAAGATCCGCCAAATCTGTATGCCAGAGCTGACATATGGAGAGGGAAATAGTTGAAGAGACAGAAAAGCGGTCCATCTATGCCGCCGATGACCGAGCCACGGTACGAGAGGAGCTAGAGAAGCTCGAGAACCTCTACCGAGACTCTGTGTCGACCTCGCCAGCCGAGCAAGGCGAGGAGATCAGGAGGAGGGTCGAACAGCGTATCAGGGAGTTTAAGAATGCTGTCCAGGAGCTGAATAAGGCGGACCTGGAGGATTGAACGGTATTACAATATTGTAGCCCCCAGCACATCCGTGTTGGAGGTTGGATACATAGTAAGCGACATATGATATATATACCACGATATATACTAAATTCTTGCTTTTTATATATACTCAACAGGCAGAGACCTACCCGAAACATCTAGATACTCCCACTAACAAAAGAAATATGAAAGATAAAAAACAACCACTAAGAAAATAATAGAAAAAAAAAGTATCCAAACAAATGCATTTTGAATCATGCACCCCACCAGTCTTTTTTCTATGCCAAAACACCAAAGAATAATACGAATTTCCAGACCCGACCCCATCCCCCCAAATAAGAAAGAAAAAAAAAAAAAAAACGAAATATGCAGGAAGTTTAGAGTGCAAGTAGAGAAGGGTAAAGACGTAGACAACGCACCGTTACTCCCAAAACCGTAATTCCCCACCCACCCAAGTTTACAAGACTTACAAAACAATGTGCAGGTATTGACCGAATAAAATGATACCACCCCAAAGAAATAAGTGCATCTGTACAGTCATTGTATGTCGCTGTCAAGCGCAATAGGATATGAAAAGAAAAAAAAGAAAAAAGAAAATGCCGCACGTAAACCTCCCTCTATGCAGTTTATACAATAAAATTTAGGATTCATGATACTGGTACTACCTCAGCAGTTGCTGAGGCTTCGGGTCCAGGAGACTCATCGACAGAATCCCCAACTTCCTTTTGTTGATAAAAAAGAAGGTAGGCTTTCGCCTTAGCAACGATTTCCGGCGTGACCTTGTGTGCACGATCATCGTTGATGCTCCACCATTCGTCTTGGTATTTGACATAGGCATAGTAATGTCCGGAGCTCGCCCTATGTATCGTCAAGTAAGCTTCGATGCCGGCTAAAAAAAAATTGGGGACAACATCCTTACCCAGATCCTTGATGAACCACTACAGCGTAGAGGTCGTACAGACGTTCTACCTGATCGGTACTGTCCATCCAGCGGCCCATGTCCAGTCCTTCCAGAGGAAACCTCACATGTGCATCGACCTTTTGTTTACTTCCACGGACTGTATTTCTTCTCCAACGAAACCGCTTCAGATGAATACATAGTATCCGCGGTAATGCACCAAACTTGAATGCCTTCGAGAAGCCCGTATCCGAGCCACATGATAGACAAGAGCGTCCGGTTCCATTTGTAGACGAAGCGGCAGAACCGGGTGGAGACGGCGAGCCTTCGAGTTCTTCAGCAGATGAGAACAAGTCTAAGCAATCCTCCAGCGTGACTGAATTTTGCGGCTCGGCCGATTTCGACGTTGCTTGAAGGTACGATAATTCAGGAATTACAAGGCTTAAATCCAAGAACGGGTCTGGCTTAATGGTGTAATACTCGCAAGACAAACATATGATCTATGTTCATGGTCAACGATATTTTCCGGAAAAAGGAGCGGTGATTTTTATCTCCAAAGACACCAGCAGGGAAATTAAAAAAATTACCTTGTTCCACAGGATACCACCAAATACAATTTGAACAATGTTGTCTTCTATACGGTATGGATTCAGTTGTTCTTGTGGATTTAATTCATCCGTTCTCCCAGCCCTTTCCGTTATCAGTTCATTCTGCATCCGCTCCAATGCACACTACATGAGATTCAGCAAGATGGTCTAAGAGTATACTATGGAGAGAAAGTACCCTTAAAAACTCTTGAGCGTCATGCTGCTCATAACGTTCTTGAAAAAGTGGCAGAACAGCCGCTACAGCTGTTGCAAACGCATGTGGGGAAACAACCAACACCGATTTAGATATCCGACGTGGTTTGGGTGGGACGATGGGCTCGCTCGATGGCTCGTCATTCCACATAAGTTTCAGCAAACGAGAAAATTCATCACAAAGATTTCTGAACAAGAATTAGTAAGATTACTCGGCAGGACGGCGGAGAGAAAGCGTACACGTCTGACGGGACGGTATATTGTTCTTCTAGCTGAGCAGCTCTCCGTGTCCTCGGTCTTGCCATATGCATTTGGACCTGAATCGCTGCATCTTCCTTTCGTCCACCGCCCTCCGTTTTCTCCTTATCCGGTATTTGTGTCTCCCGCTCCAGAAAATAATCACGAAGGGGTTTTGTATGGCTGAGAGCTTGGATTACTGCATTATTGTAACACGTATTCCCGAGGTTCTTCAGGCCAACCACTTTTATTCGTTTCGCTGGTGGGATGTAGGAACTCGCGTCGCTTTTGGAATCATAACTATCATCCTCGATTACCTCTGACGACCGCCTTTTCCCCTTGTTGTCTTTCTTTGAGTATGTTTTCTTGGGTAGTCGGCGTTTCGGCTTGATTTCCATCACTAGGGTTTCATCCGATTCTACCGGCTCATTGATGAAATCCATAGCGAGTTTTGGGTTTTCCGCAGGCAGCTCATCCCCTGTCGAATCTTCCCTGGCGTCCTCGGCAGCAGTAAGGGATTCGGGAGGCGAAAGGGTCTCTGGGTGACCACCGGTGGGAATTGGTACACGGGCGAGTGCAAGGTCATCGATGTTCGTGATAGAGCAGACAGTTGAAGTACATGCTACTGAAGGAGCCGGAGACGGCAGGGAGTGTACAGGTTGGGGGAAGAGTGACGTCGTGATCATGGTGTTTGTTTCGATCCTTCTCTTTGCCTCCCCCAACTCCGAAGTCAGCATTTTATATTTATCGAGTTGAACAAATTTATCCTTTTCTTTTTTTTCTCCTCTGCTTTTTCTCCTTCCCTTTTTTTTCTATCTCTTTCTGCTCTTTTGGGGGAAGGGGAACGGGTATATTTTTCTTCTCTCCTCTTTCTCACACTTTGCCTCTTTAATTTATTCCTTATTTCACTGAATGTTGAATAAATTGAACAAGAAAAAATAAATTAAAGGAGGGATATATTGAACAGGGCATCAAACATTGAGATTCATTCTATTCATGTATTCCGGTTGCAGTGTGTGGGAAAGTTGTTGTCTGGTGGCTTTGGATGACAACCGACACACAAAACGAACAGACAGAAGAGTAGAGAGAGTAAAAAAGTAACAGGGTATCGAAGCCGTTGGCCGTCAAGAAGCTGCCCAGGACTTGACTAGCTGCCTGGCCAGGCGTGTGCAGATCTCACTCACCGCGGGAAAAATAATGCAGGTGGGGAGGGGGGGTAGGGAGAAATACTGAAGGGATCAAAGAGGATGAGGAGGGGAGAGAGTAGTATGTATGGAGGAAAAGGAAAGAAAAGAAAGAAAAGAAACCAGAATAATGAGTGGATATGCGCAAAAGCAGTAGAGAAACAATGCACACGCCAGACGACAACAACGTACTCTAGAGAAGACGAGGAGGGGGAGGGGCCGTATGTGCTCTACTGTACGCCGTACGGTACGAACGAATGCTTGGGTTGGGCTGGGCTGGTTGCGTGAATGGATGTGTGTGTGCGAGCGCGATGCGGAAAGGTACTTTCGTTTCTCTTCTCGGCCAGGGAAGAATAATGAGGCTGCCCCGGAGTGAATGCTGTTGGCAAGCAGGCACACACCGTGCAGTCAGGTCAGTTCGATCGAAGACCGGGAAAAAGGGAGGCGAAAAACCCCACACAAGGACATGACCACAGGGTTCAACTACTAAGCTACTCTAGTAATAATTGACGAAAAAGGGCTACTACTGTAGTACTTTATGTAAGTTATTTTTCCTAGTTAGTTGGTTCTCGATCTCGTTGAGACCTCGGTACACACTTTTGCTGATGTTCCTGAGAAGTTCATGGTGTTCCCTGGTAGGATGTTCTCAAAAGAACTGTTTTCTAGCTCTCTTCGTTGGTCGGAATTTAATAACCTTTTTAGCGTAACCATGGGGAAGTCCGGATATATTTTTCCGAAAAGGCGGCTCCGCGGGGTGTAACATCTTCTCCCTCCGTCCGGAACAATATTTTCGGCTTACTTGCGACAACCATTGTGAATCTTGACAAGAATGCACATATGGGGTGAGGTAAAAAAGAGCACAGATGCATGTATGTTATGCACCCACGTCCCAAACAAATAATCTCATGTATGCGTATCTTCTAATAAATTGTACAATCCTTCGGGAAGTGCAGATCCTCCGGCGGAAAGGGCGTCTAATCCTGAAGGATCTACACAGTAGATGAAGACGACATGTTTAGCATTACATGCAGTCTAAGGTACAAGCTGTTCCTTTGGGAGTCATCTGCTATCGAGAGCTTAGACTGAGACCTCTGTATGCCAGCATGATAAGGCACCATGAATGCTGGTACTGTCGCCAGGGATTAACTTTGGAAGTCATTTGTGTGAGGGGGGTGATTTGCAGGAATATATCCTTTGAACGACAGTGGGAAATCATCGCCTGATGTTGTCGCGGGTCCACATTATGTGGGTACATGTAGGTCTTGGGACCCTCGTCTTCTATCAACAACAGTCGTCACTACAACTAAGCTTAGAAACCCTAACCCACGGTGTTCTTCAAACCGCAATAGGCACCCCCGTTGAAGCACACTGGCTACAGGACGAACAAATATCGTACATGGCATCTATCTATATATAATAGCCTGGTCGGACTAGGTCTAGCTGGTGTGACAAAGGGTCGACTTTCAAGAATCACATATACCGGAGAAAGTATTAACAGCATGGAGATTCATCAACCCGTACTCTTGCCGGAGGTCTCTTATTTTCATAAAGTTAACAGCGGCGGGTACATTCAAAACTTTAAGAATACAGTCCTCGCATAGCTTCCAATGACAGCACAAGAAAGAAGTGCAGATGCAGGAGAATCTCGACTCTCAAAACACCAAACCCCAAAATACATATCCCTAGCGGCGGAGTAAGAAACGCTCGCAACGACATAATTCGTGCAACTTATATGTGATCTGAGGAGTCATAACACAAAACCTAAATCTGGAGCCAATTACAAACAGCCTGGTATGAACACTACCTGAGTACTGCACTCAATGGCATGGGAGTCAATCACGAAACAGATTGAACGCCAAAGGGTAGTTGCAGCCAATCAGAATATTTGGAATTAGGCCTACTCTCTATGTAGATATTCTGTTTTTGGGCTACGAATATTCCTGGTGGCCGTCAAACCTGTTTCGTCGATCGTTGACCCCCGGATTGACTGTACGGCCACTGTGGCGTGTAAACTGGGACTTTGGGGGTTTCAAATGCGTGCTGTACCAATGGCTTGCTACAAATAAAAATTGATAGCGGGAAATGAAACAAAAGTGCTTCTTGCTAGGTGGGTATGTATGAGCAATCATCTAGCTATGCCCCTTTGGATAATTGTGTATATACATGTGCCTATTTTCTGACTGGAAATAGATCACAACTTCCGCAGGCTAACTGGTAATACTTACCAAAAGCTAGATTTTCAACATCTTGAATATAGAGATAAACAAAGGAAACTTATATAGTTATGGTGTCAAAGAAAATTCAATATTTATAGTGGAAAAAAATTCAAAGTACCAGAAAATAGCACAGTTTTAAAGATATACAGAGGAAGTAAAAGGGTAATATATACAAGGAAGATGTCAAGGGACGGAGGCAGTAGTACTATTAAAAGGAGCGTTAAGCATTAAGCAATTATAATACTATTTTGGCGGGGGTGTAGGCGGTACATCGTCTAATGCAATGTTCACATAATACTCATTATGCGGGCAATGCATACAATGATGAGGGGGAGGCGGAGGGCCAGTAATTGTGTGTTGCTGAACAGAGGGCGCAAGCATTTCAACTGGTTCTGGGGAGTTCAATTGATACGGTTGGTGTGAATCTGAAAATCTTGTTGTCGGTAGTTCTACTGCTTGACTGTGACAGAATTTGCTGCAGCTCTCCGGGATGGGACTTCCATCTAGCTCAGCAAGGTCGTCTTTCCTAGGAAGACTTGGCGGGCTTCGATGAAAGTACCAGTAGAATCCGCCAATCAACGATATTGTGGCCAATATTCCGGCAATGATGGCACCTACTAGTGCGGCGGTGCTTGCGTTTGTGTTTGTGTGGTTTGATAAATGAGGTGTGTTAGAGGCCTTGGGGGTTTCTGTGGGGGTGGTTGTTTTATTCCGATGTGGAAGACTATCGGTGTCTGTATAACCTCCCGTATCGAGTATGGACTCATTTGTCATGAGCGCTGCAACGTGAGCATCCTCAAATCCTATCTCTGGTTCTAGATTTGTACCACTAAATAGAAGATTAACACAGAAACGAAGAAGAGATGCATAGGGTAAGGGTTCCTTACTTGCTGCCGAACGTAGACCGTATCGCTAGTGGGACCTCATACTGCTGAGGATTTGAGGAGTACTGCAGTTCCCAATGCCATTCGTTCAGACTAAACAGATACATACCGCCATCATCACAACCAGTTGGAATGATGTCTGCGGATATCTTCCCCCCAAAGACCATCATAGCGTAACCTCCGGAGACTAAATCGCAAGTGGCATATTCCCTGGGAAGCGGGACTCTATTTACCGAGTAATTATCGCCATTACCATCCCAAGCTAGCTGCCACCTGAAAGTGGGAATTGTCAGTACATAAACATCACCTGAAAGTAATGAATTCGCTCCCGCTCCACCGAAAATGTATATTTGATGACTTGAGTTGTCGGGAGCAGAAACGACTTGGCCGCAGAAATTCGCACGGTGTGAAGGTACATTGCCAGTTGTGTTTTGACGATACCATTCATCCTTTGCAATGTCGTAGATGTCGATTCTATTCATTGGAAACTACTCGAGTCAGCACCCAAATCTAACTAAAACGTCCTTAATTCGGTTCGGCGAAAATCATACCGTGAAATTGTCGTATACTAGCCAGTTTCCCTCCTCCGTAAGTCCGCCAAAGAAAGCCAAAACCCCCTGCTCTCCATATGGCAGATAAAACCCACCTGCCGAGTGACGTCTTTTCCACGGTGTTGACTTGTTCTCCCAGCTCTCCTTCGCCCCATCCCAGATCAACAATCCCCCAACATCAACATCTCCCATCGACAGGGGGACAATTGATTGAGAATCATGTGCTACCATTCCACCAAGCAAAAAGCCCTTTCGTAAATTGGCAACATAAGTCCCCGCCGCGCTGAAAGCCCGCATGATCCTATTACCCCCTCCCATCGAAAGAGTCTTCCATATCCTGCCATCTTTGCCTCCAAGATCATAGCTCCAAACCTCGTAGCTAGCTGTGGGAGCTGTATAATTGGGGAAGGTTTTATTGATTCGCTCTGTTAGTCCTCCCACCAGGACTAGTCGGTCTTCGTCTGCCCACAAGTGGCCTTCGGCAATATCAGGAACGTCTGAGGGGATTTCATAGCGGTGGGAATGTAGGAGGCCATCGGATAAGTTGAAATCTTGCGTCAGGTCGATTGTTCGCAAATATGTATCTGAACGGATTATAACATCAGTATATATAAATGTTAAAAAGAATAACTTGACTAACTGGGTGCTGCGATTTGAGAAGAGCGGTCCTTCCAAGTGCTATCTGACCCATACACTACATTACCCCCCATAAGGTATAATGTATTGTTGATAATTGCACCTATGAGAATATGTCGAAGTTAGCAAATTTAGCTTTGTAATTAAACAAAAAGTTTCTATTTACTTTGCTGAGAAGTCATCCGGCAAAGCCTCTCCACAGCAGCACTCGTCTCCCCATCCCTCCTTTGTAACTCGGTATTACCAGCATCGAGGTACTGCGCTTCAGCAAAGAAGGCTACACATAGTGACATTATCAGAATGAAGGTCCGCATTCGAAAGTTCATTATTGCCAAAAACTGCAGGGAGTGTTCAGATAAAGAATCCACGAATGTAGCACTGTTCCATTGTTATGGGAATGAAGGGCATATCTATTATATACTGTAGAATAATTTGATATCAGCGCTTAAGAGAGGTTCCGCTTATTTGCTTTTCGCGATCCCGATACTGGGTTTCGTTTTTCTTGGGTCTGGCGGTTGATTAAAGCTCGCGTGGGCCAGCGAACCAATTCCTGTTTGGCTGCAAGCTGGTTCAACTAAATAAAGCCTCCATCTAGCCAGTTTGGGCGACAGTCGCCATTTCAAAAACCAACAAACTGGAACCCCAAAGCCCAAACAGGAATCCGACGCCCAAACTGGAAAGAAGTGGAAAAGAAGCAAAAGTACTGGGACATCCGAAACCACTGGTCTTCTGAAACTGGGAGTTTAAAAAGGGAACCTTTTTTAAAAAGTTCATGTGAAACATAGCACGGAGGTGTCTTCAAGCTAACTAACCTTCTGGGGATTTCAGCCCCTCAATATGCAATAACAGAAGCCAAACTCACCTATTTTGCACACGATGTATGTATATACTTTGCGCCTCTACAGTTTCCGGTAAAATTATTGCGAAAGTGGGTTCTCCGTGACCCAATAGTCCTGTTGGCCCTTGATATCTTTGCTTCTAGAATCCAAATCTAAGTAAAAACTAAACCCTATATATATGTGCAAATACAGCATCATGTCTGTATACTTATGTCTAAACATACATCTACTATATCTACTATACTATAAAAGAATATATACCGAAAAGGTTTCGCTAAAACCTAACCCTGCACCTGGCGCCCTCACCATTGAATGGAATACATCAGGTATCAATCTCATGGCTAACAAAAGGATAAGATGAGGTAGTCTCGGAGCTGATGGGAAGGTCTACTTACGTAAGGGCCCAGGAGATCAATCACAGGTGCTAGAAGGAATCTAAATTCTAGAATACGTGACATACATGTACCTTTGGAGCGGGACGAATAGTGACCCGGGGGGTAACACCCGGAGGCACCCCTAGTGTATATATACATATATATAGGGTAAGAAGTGGGACTGGGGCAATAGCCTGTCGTATTTTGATAGGTACTAAAAAACAATTTCATCATGAATGAAATGACGGCATTTGAAAGTCTTTAGAGATAAGGCAAGGCTTCCCAATAATCCCTTTGGTTTGTTGGCATATTCCAGAAATAACAACTTAAGGTACAGGTCTGGACACAACTTACCCTTAGCCGCCGGTGGTGCGCTTGCGTCTGGCGAGGGACCGTCACCGTCACGCAAGGGTGTGTGCAGTCTGACCCGGCCGAACGACACATGGGACGGTCAACTGCCCCTTGACTAGAGCTAGAATTTCATGTAGAGCGCCTCTTTCCCAGCCTCTACCGCTTGGCACCAAGGATCGTGAGGATTTTCTAACTGTTCTAGGCGCGCTTCTTGGGATCGCGACAGCTAAAAGGTCTGGTTTGAGCAGTGCGAGCGCGAGACTAACGATTGGCAGATAAACCGGCTAAAACTCAAGACAGAGAGTCAGAGACAGTATGGAGTACCAAAGGAGGGAGAGTAGGTACACTACTCGTAGATGGAGCCACAAGACATTACCATCTCGTAGTGACTACATACACGTAGTACTGAGCTGATGTCAAGAATTGTCTTGCTAGAGTACTCACTCTACCTACATACTAATACCCACTAGTAGAAATATTGCCAAGCATTTGGTTTTCAATAATCTCTGTCTTTGAAAATTGGTATTATTTGATATCTGCGCTCTATATAGAAATCATTACTCGACCAATTTGCCGGTGGTTTACCTCTCGCGAGCGTCGAACTGCGCTCTAAAGACTCAACTGGAATACGACAGTGAGTTGGAATCGCATCTCTTGCTAGAGTTTATCCCTTAATGGTCATAGGCCTAAAAAATCGATTTAGAGGGGAGGTGGGTTGGTTGGGTGCGCGGTGGCCGCGCGCGCTTTATCATGGTATCTAGAGAAAGTACTTCAGCTCTAGCGGAGAATGTAATACTGAAAATTACACTACCTGTATGCACAAATTTATGCTGAGAATCACCTTGCTGTGGGTACTTACCGATCGGCATACTGATATATTTCCTAGAAAGATATCTTTGGATACGATGATTCACCAGGTCCAAATCTTTACAGTATTAGGGGCTTCAAATGGTTGTTTTTTAAAAAATTCAATACATAAAATTTGAGCCCTGATATCCCTTTACCCGAAAGAAACCCCACTAGTTTACACCCAACTACACTGGTCTAGAGTGTAACTCTTCTACAACTCAACCTTCTCCGGAGTGTATCCTTGGATCCCAAGCAGTTCGGTTTGGAAGACTAATAAAATAACCAGCATTAGTAACTAAGCCAAAGATCAGTGCACTCAGAGAAAACATACTCAAGGTGGACTTCGGCGGGATAACTGGCGGCATCCCTCGTTCCCCATAAGCAAGATCATACGGAATAGTCAACTTCCTCTCGTCTCCAATGCACATGTCCAACAGTCCCTGGTCCCATCCTTTGATAACTCTGCCCTGTCCAAGCTGGAATACAAAAGGTTGGCCACGATTGTATGAGGCATCAAATTCGGTGCCGTCCTCGAGGGTACCGCGGTAATGGACCTGGATCGTGTCTCCCGCCTATAAATCATATGTATTAGTTTCCAAGTCGACTTTTTTGTGCTTTTGAGCGCCTTGGGTAGTGAGGGAGCTCAAACCTTTGTCTTTCTAACACACTCAATTTCCTTGACCTTTTCGATCTTAAGTTCCTCCGCAGTGGCAGAAGCGACGAGCGCTGAAATGACGAGTGAGATGATAGTTGAGACGCGCATTTTGAGTATGTTAAGGGTTTTAAGTTTTACTACTCGAGTATTGGAAATCGGACTTCTTAACTACTCGAGAGGGCGTAAAGGACAGATATGGTAGGTGTGGGTAAGTGGACGGAACGCCCCCTGAGACTAGCTGTATGCGGTTAGAGCAGTCGTAAGAAACGTGGAGGTAAGGTTAGTGCCGCCTGCCTGGGCATCACGGAGGAGACTGTGATTGGTTGGTATTTGGTAGGGAAAATAGTATTAATATTTGAAAAGGGCCTATGGACCGGGGACGGTTGAGGTCATACTTACATGTACATACATAGGTTATGTAGGTACACAAGCTTCCAACTTTAAGCCTCTACCTATGGCTCTACTCTAGAGTATCAATTCTTTGAGATTGACGTCACGGCCCTGTTGCAATACATAAATGTATGGATCTATTTCTTGGGCTCAATTGAGTACGAATTAAGTACATGTAGTGAATCAAAGCAATGCCGTTACCTTGCTAGGTCAGCGAGGTAACTCACTGATTAATTCACAAGCCAGTGATCTATGGAACTCCAAATATCCTGTTATCAATATCATTTATGGAAGTCACAAGAGCTCGCGTTTACGCATGCATGTTTCTTAGTCCACGGGTGAGCCATTCGGCTGAGACATGCAGTGATCTCCTACCCCGAAGTTTCAAAAAGTGTTCGTGATTTAGTTTTAATGTCAGTGCGCAGTGTGGCGCACCCGTATTCTTGATGTTATTAATGTTGAGATTCAAAATAAGGAAAAATATATAATATAGTTGGTGACTATATATAAAAGAAGATAGGTCATTGATCTTATTCTTCATTGATTCCGGGCGCCATTGATCACTGGGAAAGTCTTCTCTTGGAGTTTTTTTGATGCTCCGCTACGGTTACCTATGGAGAAATATCTCACTTCGAAATCGGAATCACGAACACTTTTGCAGAGTGGCTGTACGTGTTAAGCCCTACACTTTTTTATACACGCGTTTGCACTGTGTGATGTGCGGTGTCTTATATACCTATTGTAAAAAAATTGAGCTAGACGTCTCCGATATATAGCTGAGTAAATACACATGTGCATGTACATATACATATATAGGGGGGTAAGAGTCGGCCAAAACCACCCTCTCTGCTAAGCAGTCTATAAAAGTTCATGTAGATAGTTTACTCGATGTAAAAAATTACAGTAACCTCATTTGACCAGCCAGATGTTAACCCTAGTTCATTCCATGCAGTCTCGATATCTACTTCAAGCACAGTATCACTCTGTGCGCTTTTCTTAACAGTACTAAATGGAATAACTTGTCCTGAAATCGTTATGAGAAGATTCGAGATATCTCGTGAGGCAAGGTCGGAGATATAAAAGCCTATAATAATAATTAGTAAAATGGTTCTTCCGTCTGATACTCGTCCATATGAACAGGTAATTACCTAGAGTTCCTAGTGCTTTCAGGGTGACTGAAATCATAAAACGCTTAGTCTCGGTCTTTGTGGACCGTTTAGCGATGGCCGCTGCACCAGACATGGCAGATATCACTCCAAATATACCAAAGTAGAACGATTTCTCTGCACCGGCGTGCACAAGTTCAAATACAGGAGTAGCAGTGTAAAATTCCCAACCTCGAGGGAGAAGCGTTGTGCGAATGAGGTTTCCTTGTCCTTTGGTATAAATGCCGCCTATTTTCCCAGTCCTATGAGACCGGATGACGTATTTCGCCTCTAATAACATTCCAGGAAAATCATCGATAGAGATCAGCTCCGAATTTTCCATTTCAGAAATATTGAAAACAGCCATGAAAGAACTTCCTCCAATAGTACCGCAACTATTCCCGACTTTTAGTAGTTGATTACTGTTGTAGGCGATAAATGGATCGATAGGGAGGGCTACACGACTAGGACGTAGAATAACCGTATGTCCTTGAGGAGTGACAGCACTCATCTGTTTGATGAGAGCGATATCATGCTGCCCTGGAGTGTCTGTGATGTAGATAGGGCCACCCGATATACATCGAGCAGCTGCATGAAACCCAGCATATTCAGGTAGAGCTGATTGAAACATATCCCAATCTGGTAGACCATTGAGATGGGAAGTGAATATGTTATTTAAGGCGTTGGCAAAGATATGCCAAGCATGCGAACTTGGAATTTCAGGGAAGAAGTCTGCTCAATTATCAATCTCGATGCCACTGTTGGTTTCAAAATTGGGATTGTATTACCATCAGAATTTCTAAAAAGAACGCGAGGGCCGTTATGTGGCAATAATGCACGGAATAATATATAAGGAGAATGCTCCATGCCTAGAAGAAATGTCAGCAAGCCCATAAATTCGCGCTTATGCCAGGCTGTCGAATATGACTTACAATAGATCACTTTTCTCGAAAACCATTTCAAGCTGTGCAGTTTAAAAGCATCCTGGTATGCACGACTTAAACGTTGACGAACGGTGCCATCATCGAACTCATCAATGGCAGCTTGGTTATCGCATTTGACAGAATCTACTCCAGCACCTACAAGGAACCTTGGGAATTTTAGACATCTCTTAAACCATAAAGAGATTTGCAGTGGTCTTACTCGTAAAAGTCGCTGTACATCCGGCTCACATCAGGCTCGTCAACAACACGGACATCGTGGCCTCCATGCCACTTCACCATAGTACACTTATAGTTGGTGTCGATAGCCCCCCCTGGAGAAATTCCCTCCCAGTATCCCAACTGATCCTCTGGTTAGTTAAAGTTTGTTTGAAAGATTACGACCCTGTATTGCCATGTACTTACCAGAGCATGCCACACTGCTATATGCTTGATATTTTTGAAACGCTTTCTGATCTCTGAGGTTGTGTGCGCCAATCCGTTGGGAAAGTTTTTATTTGCCTCAAATTGAACCCAGCGGCGGTTATCATCCTATATCGGTTAATTTTCACCTTTAGACATCGCAATGAAATCTTTGATTTCCTACCAAGGATTGCCAATTATCATCAATAATGAGGGTAGAAACTAGAAAGAATGTATGAGTACAAAGATGGTAGAAACCTAGGTGAATACTAACCATTTATACCATTGTCGGACAGGTCTTGCAAAGCGGCAATTATCTTTTCTTCAGAAAGTTCACTGCCTATGCCATTCCAAGTGCAATATGCAAGCCCATCAAACCTAGTAGTGCTCAGTATCTTGACATTGGAGAATCATAGGCAGAGGGTACTACCAAGTCTGATACCACGCGGGCAAGAGGGCGGGTTCATCATCGTCTTCCCTTGTCACGTCTTGATTATCCTGAATAATATCCAGTGCTCTGATCATTTCTCTGGCTTGGTAAAACGCAGCGTCGGCCGTCCTTTGATACTCAAGACCAGTTGCCACAATAGCTCGGTGGTGTTCATCCATCAGCCCGTCATTTCTCGTCTTTAAGATGAGCTTCCCGTCAGATGATTGAACGAAGGTTGTGCAATTATCAACACCTGATATTCCAAGAATAACGACATGTCGGCCATCGGAGCGCACATAGCCTGCCATAACAGCATCGCGATCCACTGTGAAGTGAGAGGCGCCTTGACGTGGCCCCATCCACGAAGGGCTCAATTTCACCTGATTATTTTAGAACTTTGCCGGGTTGATAGGAATGGAATCCAGTATTACCAATGCATAAAAGTTTTCCAACAATAAGGGTGCTCCTAGAACCACATTGCTTATTCCAGGGAGAGCAGATCCCGAGACTACATAGAGATCGGTGCCGGAAACGTCACTGGACGCTTTCTTAATTGCGAGATTGGAATTGGTCCCTTCAAACAAACTATCAAATTGAAACTGATCGCTGGGAATGGCATAATTCTTTTGGAAAATGAGACGGCCATCGGTTATTCCCGATTGCTCTTTGCTCCATATCCATGGGCTATTCTCCTCCGGCTTAAATCTAAGTGTAAACTGCAGTGGTTGGATTGATTCGTGATAAATATCTAATCTGTAGGCTCTCCGTTTAAGATCAGACAGGTCGTCGAATCCTGAGATCTATAGAAATATTAGTCCACATCTAATATCCGTGTTTGCATATCAACTAATACGGTAAATACCAGTGAGAGGTCATTACAAGGAGCAAATTCTGCTTCCTGCCATTCTGCACCGGCACTGTACCAAAGCTGCAAAGCCCACCCTTCATCCGTATATCTATTATCCTGTGAGGTTTCTAGCAGAGCTAAAAATTGAACCTTCGGGAATCAAGTCAGCGTCAAAAATCAACTCTGAACTTGGGTCGAGCAGAGATTCGGAGAAGTCAACGGACTTACCGGCTTCCCCCCTTCGTTTTTCATGACAGTTGTCTTCCCGAGTGAGGGCGAAAGAATGACATTGATATCTAGTTTGGCTGTCAGCAACGAAGCATGATGACTTGATTTCAACATACACATTGTGCGGGAGTTTTAGGGCTTTGTTCGTCCTCTGTTCGCCGTTCGTGTTTGGATGTACGTTACCATACACACTTACTTATTAAGTGGATCGAAAAGGTCTGCTTATATGCTATAGAAGAGATCCCCTATACAGCAATACCAGTAGATCTAGGCTGAGGCTAGTGTTTGACGATAGGTATCTAACCGCCGGGATTTATACCCTTGACGTTCGAGTTCTGCGGGTGGAACGGATGAATAATGAACACTGGTAATAAGACTTACGAAAATGGAAGCAATTCTTTCAAAATTATTCGACCAGGCATGCAAAGGTTAGGTTCGCGAGGTCAAGTGGGGACGTTGTGTACCAGCGGAATATATGTTGGTACTTCTTGCGCGTGCACTAATTCAATTAGGTATTCAAGCGGGGAAATATAACTAAGCGAGGGGCGGTCTCTTAGTCGGGAAAATATGGGATTCTTCGATTCTTTTATCCATTGTAGCACAATTGCAACATGACAACTGAAGCCTAGTAGATTATCTCTTATTAGGCTGTATACTTTATGTATGTAGTCTATCCCATAGTAGGATGAAACTTGTCAAACTTGCGACCTCCCTTTTCCAGCTATCACTAGCCTAGTGTGGTAATTGTTGGAAATTCATGATTGGCTCTATTCCGTAAAAAGCAAGACAATTCCCTTATTAAATGGTGCACGGTCCAGGTCGCAAGTTTGACAACTTTCATCCTACTATGGGATAATTATATAATCCAAGTGATCAACTGGAGCAGGTAGGAACCCAACTGACATGTTAAATACAGGTATTATAGATACGGTAGTGGGTGTTGAATTTGTTGTTATAACTCCATAGGGACGATGAGTGATCCCTTGTGATTTAGACGCACACTGAGTGATTCTTTATGATTAGGTCCGGGTCTCTCTCCTTTCGATGGTTTGCCCTGCTAGAACCCTTGATATCGATAAGCTAAGTCTCGCTTCTGATTCGCGAGGCTTGGCGCATATACTGTCGCGGGTTATGTAATTTCACTTTAAGGTAACGGGTGTGCCACCACGCGACGCGACAGTACTACTTCCAGACCCGCCGTACTGGACAGGGACAAAACAACAGATCGTACTACAACATCCCTACCATTTACACTCCCACATACTCAATTGCAAAAATTGCAAAAAATTGCAAAAATGCGGAAGGCCAACACAGAACGCAAGACACCTAAAAAAGGAGATACAGCAAAAAAAGCCCCACCCTCTTCTGGCAAACAGCAGCGTACCCTGTTATCATTTTTTACTCCAAAAGCAGACTCGTCCAGCCCGAAAAAAGAAGCTCAATCATCAATTGGAAATGATGTTGAAATGACTATAGAGGAAGATGTTACTCCAATGGCAATTTCTCCTACGAAGGGTCCTTCACCCAGTGGCGAAGAGACTACTACTAGGAAGCGAAAAGGCAAGCTTTATCTAAAGAAAATTCAGAATTACGCCGCTCACTATCAACGATACATATAGTTGCTTTTGACTACCAACCTTCAAGCCCAACTGCAAAAGTTGTATGTCTTTACACCTGCAATATTGTTGACCTTACTCGGAATTTACATATATTATTAGGCTGCTTGGAAACTCGATAGCGATAAAGAATTGAGTGATCAGGAGGAGGAGGAAGAGGAAAAGCCTCCAGTCAGAAGTACAAAACCCGATTTTTTCCGCGGAGATCTTTTCTAATCGACCTAGATACCAAACGAGCTCGACGAGCTATTAAGGATGATTATGAGGAGGACAATTTTGTGGTCGACGATGACGGTATAACCTACCCACGGCACCTTGGCTCAATTGCTCAAGCTCATTGACTGGGTTGTGTAGAAAGCGATTTAGATTTACCTCAACCCCGGGGTCTAAAGAAGAGGCAGCAGCCATCAGCAGAGCCAACTCCCAAGAAGCTTGCAAGCACATCGAAGTTTGCATTCCGGCCAACAAATGGCAATTCTACCCCCGCCAAGCCTTTCCCTCAACCGAACACTCCAAAGAACCCAAATAATCCAACAACGTCAAAGAAAGAGGGGAAAGAAGTGCGTTACGAATGGTTGGTTGATGTGAGGGATGCCGATAGGAATAAACGTAGGTCATCCACATTCGGATCATCAAGGGTCTGGGAGTTGTGTTGACATAGGTTCAGCCGGTGACCCGGAATATGACCCCAGAACTCTCTTCATACCAGATTATGCGTGGGCCAAGTTTTCCCCATTCGAGAAGCAGTATTGGGAGATAAAGCGCAATCTCTATGACACAGTTGTGTTTTTTATGAAGGGGAAGTTTTTTGAATTGTTTGAAGACGATGCTACCATAGGGCATCAGGAGTTTGATTTGAAGATGACTGAACGCGTCAATATGACAATGGTTGGAGTTCCAGTAACCTCATTTGATATGTGGGCTTCACAATTTATCGCGAAGGGCTACAAAGTTGCACGCATTGACCAGAAAGAGACTGCCTTGGGTAAAGAGATGCGCGAGAAAGGATCTAAACCTGGAAAAGAAGAAAAAATCATCAAGCGCGAGCTAGGTTGCATTTTGACTGGAGGAACTCTAGTAGATGAATCGATGCTACAGGATGATATGGCTACTTATTGCGCCGCAATAAAGGTGAGTCGGACTTTTGTTCTTTGCTGCTGAAGTCGCTACGTCTAATGATTCTGATCCTGGGGTAGGAATCCGTTGAAGATGGAAAACCCTGCTTCGGCATTTGCTTCGTTGATACTTCAACTGGTGAATTCTCGATGTCAGAATTCTCGGATGATCTAGAACTTACCAAGTTTGAAACATTGATTGCACAAATTCGGCCAAGAGAGTTGATCCTTGAAAAGGTAAGATATGTACATTCACGCTACCAATAAACTAGCTGACATTCTGGTCAGGGTCTTATCTCTACTCCAGCTCTTACAATTCTGAAGAGCAACACCCCTTTAACAACCATTTGGAATAAACTCAAACCAAACCAGGAATTCCTAGAGGCAGAAGCAGCGATCCGTGAAGTTATGAGTAAGAATTACTTCCCCAACGAATCAGACGATGAGACGGACAAATGGCCCGAAGCACTTCGTGATTCCAAAGACAAGGAGCTTGTGATGTCTGCATTTGGTGCTCTTTTGTGCTATCTACAAAAAGTATGATCAATGTTTTCATCTTAGCCAGATCATACTAACACTTATTTGTAGCTTCACATTGACCAAGAACTCATCAGTATTGGTAACTTCCGGTGGTACGATCCCATTAGGAAGGCAACATCATTAGTCTTAGATGGACAAACGCTCTTGAATCTTGAAGTAAGATAAAATATGCTTTCACCCCCTCCTATAGTCTTAGTCAGTGGCTTATTGAATTAAGATTTTTGCGAATTCTTATGACGGAGGTTCTCAAGGAACCCTATTTTCATTGCTGAATAGATGTATAACGCCGTTTGGGAAACGGATGTTTAAACAGTGGCTTTGCCATCCGCTTGCTGATGCCGATAAGATAAATGCAAGACTTGATGCCGTTGATGCCCTGAATGCGGACACTGGGTTTCGGGATGCCTTTGTCTCACAATTAAGTAAGATCAATGATCTTGAGCGCCTGATATCTAGGATTCATGCTGGAACCTGCAAAGCTATTGATTTCCTTCGTGTTCTTGAAGGGTTTGAACAAATCCGTGACGCTATGGAAGACATTCAGGCACATGGTGAAGGGGAAGGATTGATTGGAAAGTTGATTTCTAGCATGCCTGATTTGAAGGAATGTTTGCAACCTTGGGAAGCTGCCTTTGACCGCGAGAAAGTTAGGTCTGCGGGTGTTCTAGTGCCTGAAAGAGGCGTAGAGCTCGATTTTGATGAGTCTCAGGACACTGTTGAGGGTATCATTGGCGAGCTTCATGCGGTATTGAAAGAGTACAGTGTTAAACTGAAGTAAGTAAAGTTATAGCGTCCAAAGTAAATGAAAACTCTGACAGTCCTTTAGGTGCAAGGAGCTCAAATTTGCGGATATTGGCAAAGAAATCTACCTCGTCGAAGTACCCTCAAAACATTGGAAAAGTGTTCCTAAGAATTGGGATCAAATGTCCGCAACCCAAAAAATCAAGCGCTTCTATTTCCCCGAAACTAGAAAGCTTGTGAGATCTCTCCGAGAGGCGCAGGAAACCCATGCACAAATCGTTGAAGGTGTTGCAGCCCGCTTCTTCGCAAGATTTGACGTAGATTATTCAAAATGGCTCAGTGCTGTGAAGGTTATTGCCCATTTGGATTGTCTGATCAGCCTCGCCAGGTCGTCTGCCGATCTTGGCGACTTAAGCTGCAGGCCTATTTTTGTTGATACAAAGCGAAGTGTTCTGGACTTTGAAGAACTTCGTCATCCTACTATGGTTTCTAGGTATGGTCTCATGCCGAATTTGAGTATAAGCCAACTAATGTGCTCAGTGTCACGGATTTCATCCCCAACGATATACAATTAGGAGGAGAAAATCCTAATATAACCCTCCTGACCGGAGCAAACGCAGCTGGAAAATCCACAGTCCTCAGAATGGTACGTCAATCTCCCTTTGAAGAATATGTCACAACTAATAATCTGCTGCAGACGTGTGTCGGTGTTATAATGGCCCAAATTGGATGTTATGTTCCTTGTAAATCCGCAAGGCTTACGCCTGTGGATCGTATCATGAGTCGCCTCGGGGCAAATGACAATATTTTTGCAGCTCAAAGTACGTTCTTCGTTGAACTGGCAGAGACGAAGAAAATACTTTCGGAAGCTACACCGCGTTCCCTAGTCATTCTTGATGAACTCGGACGTGGTACATCCTCATATGATGGTGTTGCTGTTGCACAGGCCGTACTTCATCACGTCGCAACTCATATGGGCTGCATTGGGTACTTTGCAACTCATTATCATTCACTGGCGTCGGAGTTTTCACATCATCCCGAGATCGAGGCCAGGCGTATGCAAATCCACGTGGATGAAGAAAATAGGAATATTACTTTCTTATACAAATTGGAGAAGGGTGTTGCTGAAGGTTCTTTTGGAATGGTAAGTTGATTGTGTTCTCGACTATGCACCCAATTTACTGACTTTGTTCCCCTACTCAGCATTGCGCAGCCATGTGTGGTATCAATAAGCGCATCATTGACAGAGCAGAAGAGGCTGCGAGGACCTTTGAACATACTTCGCGTTTGAAGGATAGTTTGGATTCAGCCCGTGCTGGTACTTACATTCCTTTAGGTTTGCAAAGTGATTTGGCTTGGATTCTGAGGGGGAATGATGTTGGTGATGATGCTATGAAGTCAATCGTTCAAGCGATAAAATGTTTATGATGTTTGCATAACTATTAAATGAGTGGCCATTTATTTTAGGTCGGCTGAAGAGTACAGATGTTATATATCCATTTGAACGAACAAGTCTGTATCTATGGATTAGTCAGAGGGCATTTGTCTGTCACATGGATGGTTATTAAATTGTACCTGTGAAATTTTATTTCGCGTAGACAAATGTGCGCAGAGCCTCCACAACGTTTCCTTCACAGGATCTTAAAGCATCTGTTGCCCTTGCCTTCGTCACCTGTAGGAGGAAGAAATGAGTAAAGTTGACAGAAGCTGTCGGAATTGTAGTATTGTAGATTTTACCTCCATCTCCTCCACAATAAGAGCCACATCTGCAGCATTTACTTTCGTTGAAGCGACAGGAGCCGGCTTTGCGGTATTGGCTTTTGTAACGCTGAGATCTTGCATGGCCTTTCCGAGGGCCTCGGCCGACTCATTGTTGACTGCAGCATCGTCACTTGTACTTTCCATGGACTCCATAGCCTTGAAGCGGGCTGCATCTTCGGCATTGGAGGGAACGACGCGTTCTTCGGGTTCGGCCATTGTGCAGAGTTTTCGTGGGGGATTTGCGATGTCCTGTATTGTATATGGGACGAATTTGCGATATTCTTGTTCTCAACTCTGATGATGTTGAGAATTTCCACATCTGGTAGCGGGGTTGCAGCCCACTACGATGTTTGTATTCTAGCCAGATTGGCAGCGGGGACCTGCATGAAACTACCAACCGCACCCCACCTCTTGTCCATTCCACACAAACGCCATCCCGATCAACTACAGGTCTTAGATCACTTTTAAGATAGCAAGATGACCAGTCCCCCTGTCGAACTGCCTCTTAGCCAGGCTGCCAGAAGCGCAGCTGCTCTGAGATCGTCCAATATCGACGCCAGCATTAGTAGTATAGTTGCAAATGACAGCAATGTTTGGAGTCCATCCTGTGAGTTGGACCCTTGGCCCAGGTTACCAGAAACCCTTACGTGATACTAATCATCGTTCTTCTTTGTCTATTAGCCTGGCAGTCAAAGCCAATGAAGCAGAATGTTATCTATGACAACCAAAAAGCTGTCGAGAAAGCCCTTCAAAAGCTGGAATCTTTACCTCCACTTGTGACACCATCGGAGGTAAATTGGAGCCGCTCAACGGTATCGCAATAAACTAATTGAAAAAATTTAGATCGTGAAACTACGTAATTCGTTGAAAGAAGTTGCTCTTGGCAAAGCGTTCCTTTTGCAAGGAGGTAATCTCTTGATGCAGTAAATCTGAAACTACCAGTTGCTAATTTCATTCGCAGGCGATTGCGCCGAATTATTTGATTATTGCTCGGATGTATGGGCGCCCCTCCCAGTTCGCTTCATATATATATATTACAATTGCCTGACACTGTCTAGGGACCAATCGATTCTAAGATTAAACTTCTCCTTCAGATGAGTTTGGTATTGATATGGGGTATGTCTGCTACCTTGCGAAAATGCGCAAAGATTCTTATCCTCTTAGGTGGTAATATTCCTGTGGTACGCATCGCCAGAATGGCTGGCCAGTTCGCCAAGTAGGTTACTATCATCTGTTTCTTATCACCGACAGCCTCTGATGGCCTGGAAAGGCCGAGATCTAGCATGACCGAGGTAGTTGATGGGAAAGAGATACCATCTTTCCGTGGTGATAATATTAACGGGTTTGACCCAGCGGATAGGACTCCTAATCCAGAGCGCCTAGTAACGTAAGTTCTTAAATCACGATCAATTCTTTAAAATTCCCTACTTACTATGAAAGCGCTTATTTTCATTCTGCGGCTACTTTGAACTACGTCCGCGCCCAATTGGCTTCTGGCTTCGCTGATTTGCACCGTCCTTTTGAATGGACCCTTAACCATGTTCAAAATGACCAGACCAAGCAGCTGTATCAGAAAATCGTAGACTCAATCACTGAGACTATACGTTTTATGACCACTATCGGAGCAGACAGAGCACATACTCTCGGAACCGTTGATTTGTATACCTCACACGAAGGACTCCACCTTGAGTATGAACAGAGCTTGACTAGATCCCTCAAGGATCCTGTGGATGGGAAGAATAAATGGTTCAATACATCCGCTCATTTCATCTGGATTGGAGATCGCACTAGACAACTTGATGGTTCTCATGTTGAGTATTTCCGCGGTATCGAGAATCCCATCGGTATCAAGGTCGGCCCTACAATGAAAAATGATGAGCTGGTTGCTTTGCTTGACATTGTCAACCCTAACAAGGAGATTGGCAAAGTGACTTTGATAACTAGATATGGGAAGGATAAGATCCACGATCTATTACCAGGGCATATCAAGGGTATTCAGGGGTCAGGACATGTCGTTATTTGGTCAGTACCCTTTATGTCACAACCAAACAACGGTTTGCTAATTCTCTTAGGCAATGCGATCCCATGCATGGGTATTAATTTCTTTGACTATATGATATTCTGACCTTTCCGGCCCTCATACTAACATGCTACCAGAAACACCCGTTCGTCGGCTGTCGGGGTGAAGACTCGCCAATTCTCATCTATCATGGCAGAGCTTTCTGCAGCCCATGCCATCCATAAGGAACATGGTACTCACCTTGGTGGTGTACATCTTGAATTGACCGGAGTAAGACCGAACCCATACATTCTTGTTACATCAAAGTTGTATACTCATGAAACCTTTCCCCAAAATTTAGGACGCCGTTACCGAGTGTGTTGGGGGCTCTGAGGGTCTCACGGATGAAGATCTCTCTTTGAACTATACTACTTATTGCGATCCTAGACTCAATAACAAGCAAGCTCTCGAGGCTGCTTTCCTTATTGCCGGATGGTATAGAGAACGTTCTTGATGCTACACAGTATTCGATATCCTGCATTAAACACTGTATGATCTGCGTTTTTATCGAGGGTCCTCAGTAGTTCAAAAATTTCATTTGGAGGCATTTTGGTTTCAATCCAAAACTTTTTATCCCGCGTAGCTTTCGGCGGGTCGGAGAGTGATGTGTCGGGGCTTCTGGCTTCAAAAAGCTGGGATTCAAGTATCGGATTTTGTCAAGTCTGCCAAGCCTGCATTTGCAACATCCACTCCTGTTGTCAATTCTCGAGTGATGAACTATGATTAAACGTAATTTCTGACCTCGTATCATTCCCGCTCTGGAAATGATCATTCTTGTATACAAAGCTCTCCGAACCACTGGAAGGACGTACGTAAGTGCCTACTATTGTAGCACCGTGACGAATTACATAGCCGACTTTACTCCGGGCTCGTGTTAGAACCACGCCTCTTTGTTTTATGTCCTGATCACCATCATCCTATACATCACCACTTTCCAACCCGCCCAAATTACAAACCGCGGAAAACTCTTCCATCGAGATCTCCGCACTTACAAGGCTGATCCCCACCCAGGTATCTGCCCCAGAGAATCTCAAGAGAAGGGAAAAACAAACGAATGACAGCAAGGAAAGGTTTTTCAGGAACAGAAACCTATTTTGCTTTTTGTGCATATGCAGGACTAGTCCATCGGGAGGTTGCTATCTATAGCTGATTCGACAGAACAGCGCAACCTGTGTCTTCGTGCAACGTAGCCGGAGCGACCGGGGCTCGTACCGGTAAGTAGTTACGGTACGGGGCTTCGGTTTGGTACGGAACCGAGGTTTGGTTAAGCTTAACTCGATGGTGGTGCCGAAGGGGATAGATGGGGGTGGTGAAGGTGGCCATGGGTGGAACTGGTTGGCGGAGCGGGTAATGGTGTCTACTGCGCTTCGTATTGGGTGGTTTGATATTTTGCTTCTGTGGGAGCTACAACAGAGTGCGTGGAGACTCACACTGGAGAGTGAGGGCTCAGGTACCCCAGTAGCTACGGCATAAATATACCTACATGGTCTAGGTACCTGTTGGTTGTGATACCTACCTACCTACATACATGTTTTAGGCAACACAACGACACATACGTATGCACTTGATGCGAACACAACCTTTGGGAAATATCTGGGGTGATATATAAACATGTTTGGTCTTCAATTAGAGGAGCCGTAGCTACTCTATATCTTCAACAATGCCTCAATACGTATACCCCCCCTCCTACAGCGTGAGGTAAAATTATTGTAGAAGCATGGGAAGAGTTCTATTGGCCGAGTCAGCCACCTAAACCCTGTTTTTAGACCCCTGTTTCTACAATAATTCTACCTCTCGCTGTATTAGCTCTGTGCCCGTCTTAGACAAGGTACGTCACTTCTCAATCCCACGATACCATATCGCCGTGATCTTCATGGCCCATGCAGAGTAGCTACCCTGTCTTTCCTGTTGTTAATTGTCTCAGATCAATGCACGGCTCTCCTCGGGTTGCACTTGAAGATCGGTGCTATTTCCTCTCTTGCCTGATTCTCAGCCGCGAGTTTAGGTACTGGATTGAGCCAACAGTACTAATGATTTCCGGACTTCATGTCTCCATTGGTCGATTAGAAGACATACCTAGACCATGTATTCTCAGCTGAACTTTTACGTCTATACAAGACTAGAGCAAGTGCTCATGAGTATAAATATCAGCATGTCGACAGGAACGAAGTTGAGAAGTCAGTGAATCTCAGTAGTTAGTACCGTCCGAGTGCTGCTATACAGGTTAATCTAGTTATGAAATATTTTACGATGCGCCTCATCTTCGAAACCCTCATAACTTCTACGCTCCTATTGCAGGCAGCAATAGCCACCACCTCAAGCCCTCAATGCCGCTGTCTTCCATCTTCCCCATGCTGGCCCACTTCCTCTGAATGGACCGCTCTAAACCACACCGTCTCTGGTAAACTCCTTGCCGTCCACCCCGTCGGTTCCGTTTGTCACGACCCCACATACGACGCAGCCGCCTGCGCCGATGCCACAACAAACTGGAGCTCCTCAAGTTGGCGCGGTGATAGGCCTGGTATGCTATACTAATAGTCCCACAAGTGCAATTGAGTGTGATAATTGAGAATATATATAGGCGGCATGGTCGGAGTCAACTGGGAGGTAACCCGCAACGAAACATGTTACATCACCAACCCGCGCAACAGCACATGCGGACAAGGCCGCGTACCAGTCTACTCCATTGCTGCCACCACCCCCGAGGATATCCAGACGGGTGTTAACTTTGCGCGTACGCACAACTTGCGGCTGTCGATCAAGAATACCGGGCATGATTTCCTGGGGCGATCAGCCGCGAAGGGGTCGTTGCAAATCTGGACGCATGCTATGAAGAGTATTAAACTTACTGATGATTTCCGACCTGCAGGGTGTAGCCTCGAAAAGAAGGGCGAGTCAGCGGTGACAATTGGCGCAGGAGTGCAGTTGCGAGAGCTGTACAAAGCGGCCATGGAAGGTAACCGGACCTTTGTTGCTGGGTTTGCGAGTACCGTAGGTGCCGCGGGTGGGTATATCCAGGGCGGCGGACACTCGGCATTTGGGCCGTGGCAGGGAATGGGTAGTGATAATGCGTTGGAGTTTAACGTTGTTGTTGCGGATGTAAGTTGCACTAACCACTGAAATCCCATGTCAATGATTACTTTACCGGTTTTTCTCAATACCCTTAGGACAATGATCGTTTAGTAGGTTTTTATTACTTCTTACTGACAATTTCGTTTCTCGCAGGGGTCTCATGTCATTGCGAACGAATACCAGAACACCGATCTCTACTGGGCCCTCCGAGGCGGCGGCGGCGGTACATTCGGTGTCGTAACCAGTGTCACGCTCCGGACATTTCCAGACGTCCCCATGGTCATAGCGCTGTATAATTTTACCGCACCCGCCGATGAGTACTACAACTTCCTAACAGACTTCTACAACTACATCCCCGCCATTAGTGATGCCGGTGGTTCCGGCTATCATTTCATGTTCAACAACCCCCCACAGCCAAATTTCAAGTTGACAAACTTCTTCCTCAATCAGACAAACACATCAGCAGTGAGCGCCATATACGCACCTCTTGTCTCAGCCCACAAATCCAACACCTCTGAAACTGTGTTCCAGGCCCTCCTCCTTCCTAGCGCAGCAACATTCATGTACGCCCGCCTCACCGGCACCGAGCTCGCCGGCTACAACGCCGTCCTCGGCTCCCGTCTCATCTCCCGCACCTTTATGGACTCGGATACCGGGCCCGAGCAGCTCGTGCACGTGCTGCGCGCGCTCGCACCGAACCAGGGCTCAGAATTCACGGGGCACCAGGTGGCCGGTGGAAAGGTTGCACAGAATGCACACATCGACAGCGCGATCAACCCAGCATGGCGCCGGGCGATCATGCATCTGACGTTCTATCGGGGATGGTATGACGACACACCAGTGGCGGCGCAGGAGGCTATTACAAAGAACATCACGAACGTGGAGATGAAGATGGTGAAGGCGTTGGAGCCGGATATGGGCGCATATCTGAATGAGGCGGATCCAAACGATGAAGACTGGCAGAAGATATTCTGGGGGGATAACTATGAGAGGTTAGGGGCGGTGAAGAGAGAGTGGGACCCACAGGATGTCTTTATGTGCTACCCGTGTGTAGGTGCGGAAAGATGGGATCGTGAGGGTATCTGCAGGGTTTAGTTGGTTTGTTTTGTTTTGTATAGTTAATATTTGAATACTAGTTATAGTGTTCCCCAGTGTTGGAAGAAAATGACCAGTTGACTGCTTGTTCGAGTCTGGACTCATGCTTATCCAACCATATTATCCGGTGTTGAAGGTGAATCGACGGCTAATATAACACAGCAGTGGTAGAGGTGGGTTTCTTGGTCCTTGTTCGCTGCTAAGAATCTTTCAAAAGTTAAAGCCACGAGAGATCCACCTCCTGATTAATCTTACTGGAAACTGTAAGGATGCTGTTTCTGAACGGGACAACGCCATAAATTTCCTAAATAGGTCAGCCCGTTCAAACTTTGTGTGCTGTTTCTGACTAGATGAACCAAATGGAAGAAACTCACTGAACCGGCTGTTCAATTCGTTCAGTTTGTGAACTGGAGGATTCCGCCTATCGGGTGGAATATATAAATGCATTGTCTCAAACACTAGTGGGCTGATGACTATAAGTAGAAGATCTCTGGGGGAGGATACCTGGACCGGATTGCTGGATGTTTTTTACTGTGTATAGCTAGAGACAGTACAGCTATGGGGTTATTGTCAGGTGAGGGTTAGGGATTTCATGTCTGGGTTACATGTGTTTGTATTTTAGTGGTACGTAGGTCCCGGAGAGGCATGTAGAACGTTCGAACACGAGGATGACAAACTCTGTTTAATTCCATCCGAAGAAAAATAGGCCAGTAATCATTATAGTTCTCAGAGTTACGTTTATGGCCAAGTAGTGATGAATTCATCCCCCCGTTTATAACGGTTCTTGTTCACTAACCGCCACCTTGATAAAAAGAGTGCGCTGATCCAAAGGAATTGAGTTGAAACATACTATAAGGCAGATGTGTAGACATCCCACCAAAAGGGTACATCTCCTATACTGTGGGACGAAGGGCGTACCAACTTTCTATCAGTCAAAACCTACTGAAAATGTATTTAGCGTAATCAGTTGGATCATGATGTATCACTCGTGCACCGTTTTAATTGTTGAGCGTTCTTCCATTTGGAATTTATATCGCTCAAACACGCACACACATAGCTATGGATTTCCTTGGTAACACTATAAGCCTGGGTTATATTATAATACACATCTATATAGATATATAATCCCCCCTTACCCGTTATCAAACAACCCCCGCTCAGAACCACAAGTCTTGTAATTACTTCGGCTGATAAAAATACAAATATATAATCATGCACGCCATAACACCACCCAGCCAAACTCCTAAGGAAATAAATTTACAACTTTGACTGACTAATATCTCCTCTCTCTTAACACGGCCTCGGCCCTCTCCAAGAACCTATTAAACTCCACCACTGTTGCCAATGTCCCCGTCCCTTCGCTTCCACCACCCGTCACTGCGGCTGCAACTGTTCTGATCATGGCTTCTAGGCCCTCCATCCCTTCTTCTAGTTCATCCGGTTCTCGTGCCTTTCCTCGTTCGATGGTGTGGGTTACATCTGCGAAGGTTTGCGAGATATGGTTTTGAGTCTACCCGCGAGTTAGCTAAATATATATTTCGTAGGAAAGGGACTTTTTGACATACCTCAGCACTCTTAACGGCCATCTCATGCGCCTTCCTCACATCATCCATCTTCACCGCAACTTTACCCCTCTGCCTCTTAGTTTCCAACAATTCGGCCACCAGCTGTGCTTTTCTCTTCTGTGCCTGCCTCACTCTCATAGTAAGACTAATACACCTCTCGAGCTCATCGGTGACTTCAAGAAGTCTGCAACTGAACTCCTCTTTGAACGCAGCAATAGTCATTTTCTCGAGGTTGCTTTTGGCGTACTTTTCCCAGTATTTGTCTAGAATTTCTCCAGCCACCTGGTTGATCACATCGACGGGGTTTACGCCACCACGATTGGACCCGGGGGGTAGCGCATACGAGGCTGACTTTGATAGGCGGTGAACGATAACTGGGTACGTTTGGGTTTCGCCCTCTTCCCGGGGTGGGCGGGGCTTGGATTGCTTCGGTTTGGGCTGTTTCTGTGGCTGGGTAGAGGAGTTCTTGCGGGATTTGGAAAGAGATTCTACATCTGAATCGGCTTCCCCACCAGAGTCGGATAGGTCGCTGGGCTCAAGCTGCTGCCCCTGACTCAGCCTATTTGCCTCCCCCTCTTCTTCTTCTTCTTCCTCCTCCTCCTCCTCCTCGTCTTCCTCGTCGATAGGGATTCGAGGAGGTGCTGGTTTCTTACCAATAAGCTGTCTTTTCCGTTTTGCCCCTGTTTCCGAAGGTGTTTCTTTCCCCGCCTTTTCAGCTGGATCGTGCGCCATGTTTTGGAATGGCTGGAGTTCGTCTTCGATTTGCCCAGGTTGATCCTCATCTTCTAGAATGACCTTCCTCCGTTTATTTCGGCTCCCCGGACTTATTACAGGGACTACAAGAGCGTCATTTCGAGACTTCTCATCATCTCCTGGTACTATCTGCTGGATCATTGATTCATCCGCTTCTTGTGTCGGCTCTTCAATGTCCATTTCAATTGTTTGATCTTCCATTAGCTTCTGTTGTTCGTCCTCTGATTCTGTTTCCTCTCCCGCCTCATTCTGTTTATCTTCCTCTTCCTCTTCCGCATCAGCTTCTCCCCCTTCATATGTCGAGTCCCCTAATCCGTCAATTTCCATCAACACTTGTTTCTGCACCTGTACCTCTGCCTCTTCGACCAATTCTTTTTCGGCCTCGACGCTTTCCTTCTCCCTGACAGCCGGGATTTTTGCAACTGGCTGCAGTGGCTGGATTGTGAATCCGATATCTGCGACTTTACGCGTTCTATTTCCGGTCAGTACAAACACACACTTTAGTCCTGTTAAGTACCAGAGGAAACTCACCCAGCACCCCTCTGCCTCATAGCAAGCCTCTCCTGCCGCCTCTCCGCAGCTGCATTGAGGCGCCGCTGTGTAATCCCATCGGCCTCGGGAGTGGTAAGGAATTTATCAGGACTTGGTTGTCTGGTTCTCTTCCCGCGTGCAATTGGCGTGACTGCTGCCACAGCTGATGTCCGAGTAGTGGTAATAATTGGTAGCGCCGGCGCATCAGATGATACCGGTGTTCTACCGCGGGGCGGTGACTTTCCCGTTACATTTGGCTTATCGAGGGGAACAGAAGCTTCTTCGTGGAGTGGGGAAGGGCGTATTACTTCGCGAGCTGCTCCGGCTGGGTCCAATAATGGTGGGTTTGTCCGAGGGCTTGTCCGCCGCGGCGGGACTTGTCTTGTTGATGGTGAAGTGGCCTTCGGGGGTGCGGGAGGGGGTACTGCCTCTCCCACCGAGGCAGTGGAGACACCCCCGACGGGCCGTATTACAAAGCCGTCGGATAGAACTGGACGTCTATTCGTAAATCATTAGAATTATTCCGCTGCGACTTGTTGAGAGGCGGGCCAAAGGTCGTTCCTGAACCAAAAAACTTACCCAGCTCCTCTTTGTCTCATTAGTCGCTCCAGATTTCTTCTTTCCCCTGGGTTCTGGGTTAGCAGGAGGAGAGATGGGGGAAGGGATAGAGAGTTAGAGGCATACTCCACCCGGGCTCCATCTTGTGATTTCTTAACTGGCGGTAAAGGCGGGGAATTTCAAAACGCGTGTTATCTTTAGCTCATGTCAAAGGGAGTGGGATGCGAAGTTTGGTCAACGCGTTGCTGCCAAGTGACAGATATGTGTGCTGACTCAGCATCTAGCCAGCAACTGATCAATGCGAGGAACGCCACGAAAGACAATCCCGAACTTCAAGATATGTAATCGGCTATGCAAACTCACTGGAATGTTTTTTCAGCAGGTTATGCACGCCAAATAACGAGTCGTTTGATTTGCTTTGATTCTGTAAGAGAAGAATGCCGTTTTTTCAGTCTATCTGGGTAGATCATCATCATACGAAATCACTCGGGCTAGATACGTATGTACCTACAGTCACCACCAAGAAGTCTTCGTGATGGCGCACACCACGCCCACCAAAAAAAGGGTACAAAGTGACACACCAAAACACAAATATCTTTGAATAACTTCACAACCACAAAAGATATTAAAATTATGTTTGGTACAGGAGCAGATATAGTATCCAAGAGACTTTCTATCTAATCAAAAGTAATAGATTCTGTGATTGTGAACCTATACCATGTCCAAAGTGACTATCTACGTAAGGTGCACCCAATCCTAAAGGCAATACACCAAAATTTAAATAACTCGACACCAATAGCAGCCGTTAATTTTTGCTTAAACGTAGAGCCTCTTGAGGGCTATACCTGCTCTCATCTCAAACAGAATTTTAATATCTCTTGTGGTTGTGAAGTTATTCAAAGATATTTGTGTTTTGGTGTGTCACTTTGTACCTTTTTTTGGTGGGCGTGGTGTGCGCCATCACGAAGACTTCTTGGTAGTGACTGTACCTTGAATCAATAATAAAATACTGCGAACGTGAACTTGCCGTGGACATTTGACCTCAAGATTTAGCATGAAAGGGGGATATCTTTAATGCAAGTGAGCTATATAGATAACTTTAATGTACGCCTGTGTTTGCGTTTGGGAATTTTACTTACTAAATGGTAAGACTGCATTGTTGAGAGCAATCCACCCCCGCGTGTCTCCAAGAACAAAGGGGCTCCGGACAGTTCTCCCGTCTTGCACATCGCAAACTATCACGATAGAATTCCTCAGTTAACTCTAGCTCTCTGCACTTCATCCAAACTTCTTTCTGATCAAAATTTATGACTCAAGCCCACTATTTACAAGAATCCAAGAAGAGCATGACCGTTTAATCTACACCCAAGAATGATTAAGGGATAGAAAGAATAATAATAATGACAAGACCCACCGACCAACTTCATGATAGTTTCTCGTTAGTTGGCATTAAAGAAAGACAAAAGAAATTGCACCAATGACTGTTGGAACTATGCAAGTAATATGCATGTCAAAAAACAGGAACACTGACATAAGGGGTTTAAAAATACAAAGAGAGAAATGAAAAACGAGAATTGAAGAAGGCTCATAAACAACTCCAGAAACCCAAAACCGAGTGCCTCAAAACAATAACAATACAACTCCTAGTAATATTCAACACGCATACGCGACAAATGCCATTTCTTTTCATGCCTTTTTCTTATCGGCGAGCCCCCTCCTCTTCATCATCGCTGGCTTCACTAGAATCTTCGATTGCTGACATCTCAGGAATTGTGAACCCTGTCATATCGTACTCGTCCTCGTCATCCGTTTCGGCTCTGCCACGGTCGGATTCACGCTCGTCATCATTGCCGACTCGAAGGTCCTCTTCCTCATCGTAATCGGATCCTCTGACAAACTCTTCATTGACATCGTAGAGGGCGTAGATTTGGTCGCATTTGTAGTCCATGTCGGCAACAAGCTCATTCATCTCGTTGGTAAGCATCTTTCTACGCTTCTTGCCGATGGTGGGGTCGAGATTCATAAATTCATCCGCCTTTTCTTGGTAGTTCCTGTGAGGTGAGGTATTTTAGTATCACGGCAATAGAGGGAAAGGTGGGAAAGGTCTTACAGTTTGAGATGAGAGAACTCATCTTGTAGCTGCCTAACAACTTTTGAAAGTTGTCTTCGAGGAGCCTGCGAAGGTCTTGGAGTTGGCTCTTCTTCATATCCATCATGGACTTTAATAGCCACCTTTTTCTTTGAAGCAAGCTCAAGTACAGGAGCGGGGATGGCTATGGAGTTGTCGATATCAGCAAGTGGGTTTGCATTCCGTTGTTCTTCTTCTTTAGTTCGAAGTCTATTCTCACGATGGCAAACAGTGCATTGGTCTGGGTCGTGGGCAGCCAGACGGTTGACGACTTTCTGAACACGTTCCGGGAGAATAGTGACGTCTTCGGCAGGTGTCTCTGGAGCATCAAGCGGGATCTTCTCTGGGATTGGAGGAGGCACAACATGATTTTTGATCAAACCTTCTTCAAACTCAGATGTCGACTCATTTCCCTCCATGTTTTGCTTTGCCATTTCTTCAGCCAGGACACCTTCATCCTCGTACTCCTCCTCAACCTCCTCTTCCACTGGGACATTCATTGTCAAATCCTCATCATAATAGTAAACCACTTTCTTGATGAGTCTTGTTTTCTTGGCCGGTATCTGTGCTTTCGCCTGGGATACGGGATCAGATAAAGACACCTTGGAAGGCTCTGGGTGTGGCGGGATAATTGGGGAAACCATTGGTTTCTCGACCTCTTTACCCTTACTAAATCGTTCTATCCTGACTACCTTTGGTGCTTTGCCAGGCCCAGAGGGCTCGCCAGATTCAGTTTGATGCAAAACTTTTGTCACGATTGGCTTCTTGGTAGATGTCCTAGACTTCGGCCGTTTTTGCTCCTTGGATCGGGCATCCTCCGCCGCTGTGACCTCGAGAACGGCGGCATTGGCGGCGGCGGCGGCTGCCTTTCTTTTTCTCCTCTCTTCGTTGATATTCTTTGCTATTCTTCTAATATCCTCGGGCTAGTTTACTCATGTGTTAGTTGCATTTGAAGTATTCGGGAGATCTGAGCATGGATGAACTTACAGAAATAGACATAGCAGTATCATCTGCAGCAACCATTTTTTCAAGATTCTTCCCTTTCTCAACGACCCCCTCCACGGTTACACCACCAAGTACGCCCCTATCTTCTGCTTTGTCGATAGTCCCATTCCTTGATCTTTTGGGCAGAGCAAATGGCCGTTCTTTACCCAGCAACCTGTTAGATTCTACTAATGCCTGGTTGACTCTTAATGCCTCGAAAGGAATATCTGGGCGAAGTTCCCTGAGCTGCTGTTTAATCAAGTTGTCGAGTTTCTTTTGCTGCTCAACAACCCGTTCCTGTTCCCTCTTGTCATCTGCTTCTTTCTGCCTTCTTGCATGTGACTCCATTGCAAGTCGTTCTTGCTCCCTTTCGGCCTCCCTTACTGCCTCCTTCTCCCTGGCGCGCTGCTCCTTCCTTTCTGCCTTTGCGGCTTCCCTCTCTGCCTTCTCTGCTGCGGCAGCGGTGATCGCATCGCGCTTTGCGGCCTCATTCATCACATCCTCTGCATTCATTGCAGCCTCCTTGGCTGCCTTGGTTTTTCGTCTCAGACGGTCTTCTCGCTCTTTCCATTCCTCACGTTCCAGCCCGAGCAGCTTACTTTGCTCAAGAATTTCTTGGCGTAGTCTCCCAATTTCAGTCTGGAGCTCTATTATGGTGTTTTTGAGGTCTTCGTTATTAGCGATTGCCATTGCCACAGAATTGACAGCGTGGTTGCGCTCCTCCTGCATGTGCTTCAGTGCAATTTTGGCGGTCTCGAGGTCTCGAGTAGACCTATCAACCTGTGTGTGGAGGCTATTGACTGCGCTTTCAAGTTCTACAGCGAAGGAACGTTAGTATCTACTTAAGAAGTGGAAGTAAACCAATTGAACATACTGAGTTTCTCCATTTGAAGCTCTAATTTGGCTTTCTCCCTCATTCTCTCCTGCGAATCACCATCATCACTACCACCAAAAGCGCTATCGCCGCTGCGCTTTCGCTCAAGATTCTCCCCAACTGTCCTTGACTTCTGTCGTTCCATTTGAGTGCGTGTCTCGCTCCTTCGAAGCTCAGTCTCGAGTCTCATGCAACGATGTTCAGCCTCTGCCTTAGACTCTTCCAACTTTGCGACTTTCTCCTGGAGAAGTCTCATCGCCATTAAGATTGCACGCTCATCGTGGGGTATTGGAATAGAGTCAATAGCCCTATGGTCCTTGGTATTGCCGAACGGGCCCCTCTTCATTGACATTCTAGTTGCGTCTCCAGGATAACCAGAGATAAGCTCTGACAAGTCCGACATTTCCGGAAGCATGAAAGATTGCTGTGTAATTCCCGCAGTTATGTTGTCTCTTTTGCCCGGATTATAGCCCTTGAGCTGTTGAAGCTTACTTTTCACATCTGTGGATGTTGTGTTACCTTCCAGGCCAAGCTCGTGCAAGAACGCATCTGTAGACTTGAAGTTCTGGGGGACTTTCGCTGCTGGTTGTTTTCGACTCTTAGCAATCATTGCAGGAAGATCGTCTGTGAGATCATTTCCATTTGTTTCCGGGATACGGGCGACACCTTTCTCCTTCGTAGTTGCCTTAGTTTGTCGGGGCTTGGGGGAACCTCCGAAACGTGTATTTCCGAAGCCGCCTCGACGTTTAATGCTGCCGGCATCGGAACCGGATCCTTCAGCGTCGCGTTCGAGGGTTCGTTGGATACCGGGGAAGCGCGATTGTGAGCCGCCGCTGCTGCTGGATACAAAATCTCCAACCTTTACTCCACTTGTCTTCGTCCGTCTATTGTTTTGCGGTGTCGAAACCTCCAGCTGAGACAGGTCAAAGTTAATCATGCTTCCTAATCTCTGCCCATTCGAGGCCGCGCCTGTTCGCGCCTCCACCTCTTTGCCCTTATTACCAGCGGTTTGAATTGAGCCTCGAAGCTCATCTGAGTGCGCACTTCCGGAGTTATTTTTTCGCTCGGCGGGTAAATTGGAGAAAAGTTTCCCCCCGGACTTTCGAGTACTTTCACCGATCGAGAAGGGATGGTGGGATGAAAAGTCGATTGACCG